TGTTCGGCTGACCGGATCGATGAGTAATGCTGGCAACCCCTGAGTGACCTGCAGGCTTCGCGGTGTGTGCAAGGTGTGGTGGACCTAAGACTGGTGCGCAACATTTTGCTGGGGTGGTGCAGGAGTGTGTCCATCCACAGCTGCTGAGGGTGATCTCACTTTGTGGGTACTTGGACTTTAGACGTTTAGGTTCGCCATTTTCGTAAGCCAACAGTTGAGACTTCTTTTGGCCAATCACTGATACTGTTCACCCAAGAAACCCTGGTTTCTGATGATTCCCCAATGCAAATACCAACAAACGCCCACCATCCACAGTATGTTCCTCACTTCAGGACGAAATGGAAACCATCACTAAACAAGAACAAAAAACCTACCGCAGTAGGGACGGAACGGCCCCTTTCAAACCCCCCGCCCCCAAAGCTCAAGGGCGCTGCATCCCTACGCCGCGGCGCTGCTGGCCGGGGCGAAGCTGGCGCTCGGCTGAAGGCGGGGGCTGAAGTCGCAGAAGTCGCCGAGCTGGCCGGCTGGATGGCTGGTTGGTTGGTTGGCTGGCTGGTTGGTTGGTTGGTTGGCTGGATGGTTGGTTCGTTGGTTGGTTGGTTGCCTTTTTGCGAGGGGTACCCTGTTGGGATCGTTTGAAAGGATCACCAGGAAGCCACCCGCGTCGTTTCTTGATCCAAATTCGGCGGTTTTTGGAGCCCGGCGGATTGGATCTGGAGTTGATCCCGCGCCGAGGGCAGATGGGACGCTGTGCTTGAGCACCAAGCCATCAAGCGGGGAGCTGATTTTGGGATACCCTTTTTGGGATTTGAACGGTACAGGAAACCACCCATGATGTTTGTTTTTCTTCTAAAGCTTGTATGGCCGGGGGTTCTCCCGTTAAGGCCCACATGGCAACGTGTTTTTTTTGTTCGGGTACCCCGGCACCAGCACACAGGAAGCCAAGTCCTCCAGTCCGAACCTGGGCTTCAGAATTTGACACGTTGAGCTTTCAAGATGGGGCGCTGTTCAAACCAGAGAGCAGGAGCCCTTTCTGTTTTTAAAGTTAACCAAGCATCGCGGCGGGGGATCAGTTTTTGGTTCTTCTGTGTGTTTTTCCTCTTTCTCTTTTCGGGGCGGGGGGGGTGGGGGGGGGATAATGTTTCCGTGTTGGCCACGTGCCCCATCTTCTCGGCGCTTTGGTTCGCGCCTTCCCAGATCTCTCCCAGGCAGTGCCCACGGCGATCGGAGATGGACGCGAACAGAAAAAGCCGAGCGGCCGGTCCTGTGCGCTTGCAGCGGCTGTAACGACATAGCGCGGCTGAGAAACACAACCATCACCCGGGAAAACAAATTCGAAGGTTGGGACGATTGTTCGACCATCAATTCGCTGCGGATCTCCGGCTTCTTTATCCTTTGCATGGCTCTGGGTTCGGGTTTTGATCATCAGGTTTCCCGGGTTCCCGGTGAGCCGTTTCGGCGGTTTGGGGTTTCTGGTTCTCGTGGGTTCAGCCCGGCTCCAAAGTCGCTGCCCGTGAATCTACCCGGTCGATCCAGTCACACATGTATCAAACTGCTTGTCCTGTGTGGGATATGTAATGTCAACTCAGCGGTGGCTTTAAGAACCCATATTTGTTCAGCCGATGCTTTCATTTGCTTAAGAGTATGGTTTATTTTCCCTGTTGGTTTCAAAGGGAATCTATCACCACTGCAAATATGTTTATCTTTGCCAGGGGGCTTAAGCGAATAGAACCATGTCGAGCTGATTAGCACCGCGGAATATGATGCTTCAGGACTTGCTGGTGGAGGAGGAGGCAAGTGGGATGCTCCTTAGGGAGGTTTGGCCTCACCAATGGACCGCGGTGGTTTTCTCCAGTCGTTCTTGGCGATTCCTCGGGACAAGATGCTCCACAAAACGTATGGGGGGCATGTTCACTTGGGTGTTTCTTTTTTTAGGGGGACGCCCCCAATTTTAAAAAAAAATAAGTAAACATATGTTGTTGTCCCTTTAATTCCACAAAGAAGGGTTCCCCTCACACAAAGACAGACCCACTTGTACAAGGTTTGAGATGAACTGCAGGGAGCTGCTGGAATGACAGATCTTGTCGGGCAAGTGGCTCGGGTGATATTGTCAACCCCGGATGAATACAGCCCCGGTGTTGACTTTGATGGGGTGTCCCCTTCCAGTGACTTAGCGGGCTTTCATCACTTTTGGATTGAACACGCCCCCCCCTAATAGGACGGGTTCATTTGGGGTATTTTGGGGTCAACATTGCAGTTGATTGCTTCTGGCTAATCCGCGCCTTCGGCATTCTTAGCCGTGCCTTCATGTTCGAGATCGAGAGGATCTGCTGCATATTGACCAAATGGGAAGACCCAGGGCTTTTGTGTCCAATTGTGATTTCGGGGCTCCGCACATTTGGACGCCAGATGTTTGGAGCGTCACTTGCATACCGAAGTGCCAAATTGCAAATGAATAAGACTCCATTTGCCGGCATCGTAGTCTGTCCAACATTGTATCAACGAGTCTTTCAGAACTTATGCGTGCGAAAAGCCTAGAAGCAGCCATGGCCCTTTGGCTTCGTGTTTGCAAAAACTCGCAGGTGATTCTTCTCAGGGCTTACCAAATGCTTCCCCTGCCAGGGGGCGGCCGGCGCCTATGCGCGCCAGCAAATCTTCAGCTTGCTGGTGGAGCAAAGGGAGCAGATGCTCCAGGACAGGCACGGGGAAGCTGAAGAAATTCTCGGGGGAGGCGGCCGAAGCGCCACGGAGGGCAAATGCGGAGGCCAGGCGGCCAGGAGCCGCTGTTTTGGGTCAAATTGGGGGAGCTTCGCTGTTTGCTTTGAAACGTGTGTACTTTCAGCCAGCCAAAAGGGTACCTGAGAATGAAAGCAGACCCCTGTTGGATGGCTTCAGCTCATCTCTATCCCCTTTCTGTCAGTTTTGATCCAATTCCATTCTTCCGATGACGAATCTAGACATGCTGTGCGGGCGCTCAAAGTCAAGTTGAGACATCGGTGTGGGTAGGAGATTGCTTTAACTAGCCCAAGCTGCTGGGCGATTCACTGGACATATCCGAGGGCGGGTTTCTGAGCCGCAGCAATGTTATTATGTTTGTTGGAGGCTCTTCGCACCGGGCCCTGCTTCATTGCCTTCGGCGTGCAGGTCTTATTCTTTCATGCTCAGAGAACGAGCTTGTGGGCTGGACAAGTGCACAAGTATGAGACTGTAAGGGCTCCGAAACTCCAGCTAGACGTGGGGCAAAGCCAAGTCCGCTTCAAGTCCGCACGTTAGCTGCTGCAGGTTTGAGCATTTGTGTGGAGCTCTAAAGTCCAGACTGTGCTGGGCAGTCGCTTCAGGAGGAGTAAGGAACATCATGGTTGTTGTTGGGAAACATTTTACATTTTTGCTTGTTGTGGTTTAGCGGGAAGTCCCCACTTAACTGCTAAACAATAATTTGTTGCTCCCCTTCCAACGTTCCAACGTCAACCGAGACATCCAGGGGAGGGCTTCTATAGGAGACGGAGAGAAGTTCCCGGGAGCAGCGCGTGAAGGTGACCTGGCACCTCAGGGAGGCCGGACCAGAGTTTCCGTTCATCTTCTTGTTGTGAGACACGTATGAAAGTTCTAGATGGGTGGCTCGTTTCGAGGGACCTTTTTGGTTAGAGAAACCAACATGAAGAAACATATATATATTATATATATATATATTTTTTTTGGGGGGGGTCCCCGGAAATAGACCGCCCCCCCCCCCCTCGAACCCCGGCAGTAGCTTCTCCCCTTTCTTTGTGCGCTGGGCTTTGTCATTTTGAAGGTTATGATTAGTGGATGCTCGCTGCATGTAGATGTAGCGGTGGGAAACGGGCAGATGTTCAGTGCTGCAAGTAGTCAGAACCTGCATCAGTTTTCCGCGGGACGATTTCCATCTCCTTAGGAGTGTGTTGCTCACTGTCTCGTGACTTTAAATGGCGTGACCCATTTGCTTGAACATGTTCGGTCAAGGCAGCCACCTATCACTTAGCAGCTTGCCTGGCCCCTTTGGTAGCCCAGATATACGTGTAATGTTGACCCCCTACTAATCAATGGGGGTGCTCCCCTCCAAGTGATGAACCCCCACTAAAACCAAGGGCGCCTCTATATCAATAAGCAGGGGGTTAATTAATAGGGGGGTTCCATTAAGCGTCGGGTTGGATACAGATCAACGCCCTTGCCTTCGTGTCCCGCCATGGCGCAAGAGCGCTTGCTTCTAGGTCCCCCAGCGAATGGTGCCCGACCTCTCACCGTTCCTTTTTTGCTTGGGAGGGTTCCCCTACTAAAAAAAACAAACTGAAAAAAAAAACACGAAACAAACAAACGGGTACCAACTTATTCGAACCTCTCAAATCTGGAAGACCTAGGTTGGGCTCGAGAGTTTCCTTTTGACCCAAAGACTTTTCGTGATTCCAAGCTTTTTGGGCTGTCCAGGCCAGCAGAAGGTTGGTGTTTCACCGAGCTTGCTGATGCTCGGCAGGGAATGAGAAATGGAATGACCCCCTGTAAACCATCCCCTTAAGGGAATCCCCAGGTTCATTCCCTCATTCCCTGCTGAGCACCAGCAAGTTCATGGATGTGATGTCTTGTGACAACCTTGACATGATGACGCGGTCGACTCCAGCCACCTGGCTCGAATCGGAGAACCTGGCCCAGGGAACCTAGTGCGAGTGGACGGCTTCATATTGAGTCCTTTGCGGTCCTTTGAAAACAAGATCCGTTGGCCGTTCCTTTTGCCGTCCGTAGCCGCAACCAGCACAGCTGCCTAGGCCTAAGACTGAACCTGGCAAGGAATGAATGTGCAAGCGCATGGGGTTGTGAAGGTTCCCTTTGACACCAACAACAAGGGGGAACTCTGCAAAAACGACAACGACAATCACTTCTCGACACCAACAAGTGGCAACCCCCCCCCCCCCGAGAAAAAAAACAAGAAAAAGAAAGAAACCAATTTCACACGCAACACACACTTCCGCTTCTTTTTAAGGGCAGCTCTAAGGGGTTCCCTTTAAGACCTTCGCCTTTGCCGCTCCCGGCCCGCGCCCCGTCCTCGTCGCTCAGCGCTGGGCGCTCGCAGCAGTCGCGCCATGTCGCGGCCGAGCTCAGGGGTGTCGCGGCCCTCGCGGCCTGGGACGGCGGCGGGGGAGCGGCCCCGCAGCGCCAACGTGCAGGCGCTGGCGAGGGGTGGGGGTGGGGGGGGGGGGTTGGGGCGGGGGTGTTGGGGGTGGCCGTGGTTGTCAAAACCGTTTTGGGATCCCGTTTTTTAGGGGCCATTTTAGGGGCACGAGTTGGGTTTTGACCAATGGCCAGGTGGGTGCCATGGACTCGTCGACAGCCAACCCTACTGTGGATGGCCGAAATCCATTTCGCACCACCAAGGAAACCCAAAAATGATGAGTCCCCTGTAAGTACCAACCAATAATGGTTTCGCAAGGTTTCTCAGTGCATGATTCGTCCATCCACAGTATGAGACCAAGAGCCGGGACTTGTTTGAACCGCCCCGGCTTTGATGGCCGGTCTTATATCAAATGTGTCCATCAGACGCTGAAGGGGGGCAGGCGTGGCTCTACCATACCATGAGGTGGTAAAGGACTTCGCCCTCTCTGGTTCTAGAAAACCGTTTGGATCCGTTGCTGCGGCTTTTAGCATGTTTTTCTCCCCCTGTTGCGGTCCGATGGTTTTAGTACTCTGTTTGGCACTCTTTTGGCATATACCGCGGCTCCACAGATTCGCCCCGCAGACTGTCAATGGATTCAGCTTCCCTCGATTCCCTGAAGCAGAACTTTTAGGCCCCCAAACCAGCAACCCAACCAAGAGGGAAGCTGGGGGGTGGGCAAGAGCCATGAGATAACCCACCAGGCCATGGTTACAAAAGTCTTCGTTCAGTTGGATTTCTAGCCACCCAGAGGCTCCAATTCGATTGATTCAGGCCTTAAAACCTGGTTTTGAGACCGGGTCCCAACCGCCAATTCCCGGGGTGTCTAATGCTTCGGGCTCGGGTCTTCCATTGAAAGCCGAAGCCGATCGGAGCCTCTGGGCAGGCTTACTGTGGATGGACGAAATCCATTTCGCACCACCTAAGAAACCCTAGAATCAGGATTCCCCAGTAAACACCAACAAACAATAATTTGCTATGGTTTCCAAGTGGTGCGATTTCTGGATTTCTCAACCATCCACAGTATCCACCTACCCGATGGCCCCCTAGCGTGGCTGCGGCGAGAGAATTCCAGGCCTTTCAGCGGGGCAAGGAGGCCGCCTACGTGGAGGCCGTGGAGATTTGCCGGCAGGGGCTCACCAACGCGCCACGGCTTTCAACGGCACGAACGGTTTCGCGGGGTGTCTGTCACAGGGAAAAAGGTAGACTTGGGGCTTGGAAGGGAGTCCAGATTTGCTTTCAAAGAGGGGACCTTTGGGAGCTAGGAGTGCTGTAAGAACCGGGTAGATGTGGCAATCAAACTCTGCATGGGTTCCCTTTCCACGGTCCACAGCTGAGTTCGAATGCGAGTATGGCGCGGTCAGAGTCAAAGGAGCTGTGTTTGTCATGTTTGTGTAGAGGTTTTTTTGCACATGGCGCCACTAGATTTATGTTGACCCCATATTAATCAACCCCTGTTTATTCATGGGATGTTCCCAATCAGAACCCCCCCCGATTAGTAAACTGGGGTTGATTTATATGGGGTCAACATTGATCGAAACTGATGTTGGGAAGATGGGAGTTCTCAGCCAAGCGCCAAGACAGATTTGTTTGGAGCATGCTGCGTTTTGCTTCACCACCCTACTTGGGTCTATATTTTTTTGGTGGTACCCTTTTGCTTGGTGGGTTAAAAGGGCAATCGAAGGACTACCATCTTGAAAGGCCCCCAAAAAAGACGCCATCCTACCGTTTGCCTCGCTGGTTTTCCACAAGCCACTGATCGGTTTCATACTGTGGATGGACGAACTCCTGCACCACCTAAGAAACTCTAGGATAATGATTCCCCTGCAAATACCAATGAACAATGTTTTTTCATGGTTTCCAAGTGGTGCTTAAGCGGATTTCGCAACCATCCACATTTCTCCCGTGGGCTGCATCCACTGCAAGTTGTCGCATAAGTTGGGCAGCGTATGTAGGTCCCCCAGTGCCCTTTTGCCTTTTTGTGGCTTGGTTGGGAGGGTTCCCCTACTAAAATAGACTACATAAACAAAAGAAGTTGGTACCCTTATTCTAAAGCTCTCAAATCTGGAGGACCTAGATATGGCTTTTCTGGACTCGTCCGCAACAGGGTTGCAAGCGAAAGGGTACGACTTATGACAATCGCCTTGATCATCGAATGACCGGTTTTGGTTGGGGCCCCCACGTGAGTCAGCTCAAGTTGCCTGAATCAAAGGGGTTGTCAAGTCAAGGGACGTTTTGCATTGGTGCAGGTATTTCTCGGGGTAGGTGTCGGGGGTTCAAAGAAAGAACTTCTTTAAATAATGGACATTGCCTCATTGCAGCACGGAAGATGGGTAGTTTTGAGGGTATGCACCTGTACTTGCCGATCAGTACCCCATTGAACAAGAGATGTTGATCAGTGGCGCATGCTCATGCGCAGCTTGCTTTTCCTTTCCTCGCTTCCTGAGTTCATGGACTTCAAGCAATTGTTGGGCTTGGACGCAAACAAACCATTCAACACGGCTTGGACCGTTGTAGCGGCCAGCAAACCAAGAAACATGGGCTTGTCTTCTTACCAGTCCACTCTGCTTGTGAGATAAAGACACATTCATGGCACTCCAGCCAGCGAGATGGGCATGTGGCGATGGAGGCATATACAGACCTGCAGACGCAGGGACGGGGCCCGCGAGCTTCCGGGTGGGGTTTCGAGGTGAGTGGGCACCTGCTCACCAGCTTCCACGAGGAGCTGCAAAGCCTGGGTGCCACCCTGCAGCTGCAGGTGGGATGGGAGTTGTCCCCAGAAAGGGGCCGTAGCACGGAATTGGGGGAGGGGGGGTGATGAAATTGGGGTGGAATTGGCTGGGTCGGGGTGGGTCTGGGTTGGGAGGGCTGGGTTTGGGGGTGGGTTGGGGCTGGGTTGGGAGGGCTTGGTTTGGGGGGTGGGTTGGGTGGGGTGGGTTGGGGCTGGGTGGGGGAGGGGGGTGACGTGAATCCTAAATTTTCCCTTCTATGGGAATACTAGATAGATTGTAAAACACACCGCATACACCGCATTCGATCGCGGCTTGCATTTGGACGCATCCCGGCAGATGGAGGTGCCAACACTCAGTTGTATGCACTTGGCCCCGTTGCTGAAAGCTAGCTGTGCAGCTCCGACTTGCGTCGAGGGTGGCCGTTTCAACACTGAACTGGCACGGCTTTGCGTCTAACCCCCCTTGATCAACCTGGAAGGTGAATCCTCCCATAGCCAGGTGGCTTTTGCTTTTTGGAGGGAATGCTTTGTTGGGTGGTTCTTGCGGGAAACCAAAAATCGCCGACACCCGTTTTTGGGTTCTCATGTAGAGAGGTGTATTGACCACGGCAACTGAGTTCGGAGCATGCTGGGGCCAGGTGAACGAAGCCATGGAGGAGCGGCAAAGGAGCCCTTCCGCGGTGGACACGTGCTGCGATTTCTGGATTTCTGGATTTCTGCATTTCAGTGGTGCGATTTCTGGATTTCGGCCATGCTCGGTAGGTTATTTGACGATTCGAGACAAATGGGTTTCGACGAGCTGCAGGGTTCGGAAGCATCCATGCCTCGTACTCCACTGGCCTTGGTATTAATGCGCAGATTACAGTCCCAGAGGGTCCAAGTACCTCCTGAGGATGGCTTTTGGGGGGTAAACAGGGGTCTAAGTACCTGCTTAGAAGGTACTTGGACCCTCTGGGAGTAGTTTGAAGTTCGAAGTCTATGGTTTGATCGAGCAAACTACTTTTATCCCGATTCTCCGCAAGGAGTCCAGAGGTCGCAATTTCCTCAACGCCCAACGCCCAACGCCCTTTCGGGGGCTTCGTGACGGCCATGCCATAAAGGAGGGCGGACGAGAAGCTGGACCACCTGCTGCTGGCGCTCCAGGATCGGGGCCGCAGCGAGAGCCCCAGGCGGAATTACTTCGCAGGCGCCCGCAGGGGCAGATGCCTGGAATCGATCCAATTCGGGGCTTCACGCGGAGGGGCGGGTTTTTGGAAGCAGCGTTCTGAGATGTGCAAGCCGACACAAGTCAGCCAGGATTTGGGTCGGATTATTTGCTCGCAAATTCATCAATTTGGGCAGCTTTGAGTCAAGCAGCTTCCATCACAAGCCACTTTCAATTCAGTTAGTTGTTTGGCAGATACGACTCTCTTTCCGCCTGTCTGGAGTTCTAGCCGAGAAGGTCCTTCTAGGTAGGGCAACATGAGCCGCTCGTCATGCCTCTTTTTTTTGTGGCCCCCATTCTGGTTCGGATGACCAGCCAGCTTGCTTGCTTTCTACTTAAGGGGAATCCACCGTAGATTGTATCGCGGCCAAATATGTTTTGCCTACACCTACACGCCCAAAACCCAAGCTAAACCTACCCTACCCCTCCTCCTGTCCCAATCCACTGTGTCGTATCACGGCCACTGTATTTTTGCACGCAGGGCTTGGCCCCAAAACTTGCGCAGGCCTTGCCCACGACGGAGGCAAGATCGAGGCACGGCCCGAATCCCACGGTTGTTTAGAGAGCAAACAAGGGGCCTGGACCCCAAAGAACTACCAACTTAAACATGGGATGAGTTGCAACCCCAAAGGATGGTTGGTGATATGCCTTTGTTGTGAGTAGTTTGAGGGTCCAGATAGACAACCAGCAATAAATCTTAGTCTGGAATTGCGGCCTACTTCTGTTCGAAGCAGGCCGCAACTGCATTCTGTGAACAGTGCTGAGGCCAAACACAAGGCCGATACCCAGGAAAGGCCATTCTAAGACTCCCTCCGAAGCTGGAGCTAAGAACCTTAGGTGGGAGGTCCTTTAGGTTCCCATGGCCCCCTCCCAAAGCATTTGAAACTGGCTGTCTGTGTGAAATGGCACTTCTGCCAGGCCAACAAGCAGTTGGTGAAGCGAAGGGAGGAGCAGATTAGCAACATGTTGGTGGTGCTCGAGAAGTTGGCCGCTCGGCGCTTTTTCAATTCTGACGTGCAATCCGATCGAAACAAGCTAGTGGTTGGAAGGGAGCCAGGGGAGCTAAGGAGCTCTCAGGAGGTCTTGTTTGGACATGGTAGGAAATGAGGCCAGTCCAGACAGAGTCTGCGCACAGCCTTCGCAGACGCCCCACCCTGCAACATGATGGAACCGAAGTTGCTTGTATGTTACTTGCCTTGATTTTCTCTTTGCAATCAGCTCTTCCTCATCGCTAAATGTGGCTGTCAGAATTTCCAGCCGTTCCTTCGACTTGTGCCTCCCAGTCCTGTGTCTTTACATCCCGCCCTTTTCCAAGATGAGAAGCTCCTCCATCCGCCGGACTTTCCAAACCTTTGGGGATTTGCCCCTCCACCCTCCGCCGCCGAAAATTTTCAATCCTCTGCCGGAGCCGCCGCATCTCGGACGCCTCCAGTCGGCCCAGGAGCAGCGCTCCGCGGTGGATCGGTCCCAAGCCTTGGAGCAGCAGCTGCAGCTGCTCACCGCCCATCGGCCGCAAGCTTTTGGCGCGAGGGGCGGTTGCGAAATCCGCGAGTGTCGCACCGCCGCCTAAGAAAATAGGTAGGATAAGGATTCCCAAATCCTGGAAACACCAACAAACAAAGGTTTTCCTCCGGTTTCGAAGTGGTGCAGGATTTTGCCCATCCACAGTATGGCGAGCCCATTTTGGGGCGGATGAACACTCATGTACCATTTTTGTTGATGTTCATTTCGCGTCCATCCACAGCAGGTGGTTCCAACTTTTGGCCGGTTGACTGAGTGCCGGCGAATCTGCCGATTGGAACCTTCAACCGGAGGCCTTTGGTCCTGGGCCCCACGACTTGATTTGGACGGCTTGGAAGGAATGCAAGACGCGAGGACCAGTGCGACCATAGATCTGCAATGCCATAGGCAGTTTATGATTGGCAAGGTTTGCAACTCGCCCCTTGAAAGGAGTTGCCACAGCGATTTTCGGGGCACCGTGACCAGACTCCCTCCAAATCACCTGTTTAGGCAGAGGAGGCATCATTCTTGAGGCATCCCAGTGGAATCAGCTGGCTCGCATGAGTGAGCCGCTAGATGGGCAGTGGCTCTTAGCACTGAACAGGGCCTGATGAAGCCTTGTGGCAACATGGGCCTTTGACGCAAGCCAGTCGCTGGCATTCATGTTTTGAATGTCCCGCAGCACCTGTGGCACCTGTGATATTTGTTTGTGGCATCTGTGATATTTGTTTGTGGAATTGACCCTTGGCTGAGTGGCGCTCAGGATAAGTTTGACTTGATGGCGACTTGGCAGCAGTGACAGCCAATTTGCGGGGAAAGCTTGACAGGCAAGATCATAGTGTCCCAAATCTTGCCTTGGAGAACCAACTCCAGATGTCAATTGCCTCTCTGCTGGTCAGTACAAAGTGAAAGTCCATTTCCTTTGTCATTGCGGCATTCTGATCATTGTTTTCCGCGCACTTCAAAAGGAGCAGACCGTTCAAAACGTGCAACAAGTGCACTTTTTCGGAGTTGCCCCACTTCCACTTGCTTCAGAAGAGGTTTGTTATCTTTTCCTTGTTGGTTTTGAAGGGAATCTATCACCAGTGAACATAGTGCCGCATGTTTCTTAGGGGGCGAAAAAGCCAATGGAAGCAACAATTGACCCATGCCAGCAACTGTGGGTAGATGTTGCATGGAGTGTTTGGGTGAAATTTAAGGTAACCTAGGTCCCCCAGTAGTGCCCTTTCACCCTTCTTGGGGGCAGGGTTCCCCTGCTAAAATAGACAAAACTCAAAAAAGCATGGTACCCTTATTCTATCCTCTCAAATCTGGAGGACCTAGCAAAGCCTTCCATTCGCTTGGGGTGTTGGACCGAAAGGACCACTTCGACCTGAGGACAACCAGGGCACTCAGCACAAAAATGCACATGGACGCCATTGCACACTGGTCTTCTTGATGGTCCCCAGCTCTCCCCTTGTTTTTTGTTTTGTTTCGTTCTTTTTTTCCCTCCCCGTGTTTTTATATGTTTTTTTTAAGGGTTTCGACTTAGATCCGCCTGAGGACAACCTGCTTCGAGCCATGGCTGCGCGGAAGGAGGAGCCCGCCTCCCCCCGGGAGCGCCGGATGTTGGACCGAGCCGAGCGCCCCTGCCGGAGTTGTCGAGCTGCCGAGCGCGCGCTGTTGGCGACAGAATATGGAGGAGATGTTATACTGTGGATGGCCAAAATCCGTTTCGCACCACCAAAGAAACCCTGGAATGATGAGTCCCCCCTGTAAATACCAACCAACAATGGTTTCGTTTGGTTTCTCAGTGGTGCAGGATTTCGTCCATCCACAGTATGGGGTCAATATCAATCAACCAAGCAGTTCACCAACAAGGGGGGTGGGGCCCCTCCAAAAGTGGTCGGATTCCCCACATTTTACCCAGCGACGCACCCGTTTTTTGTTGACTGGGGTTGATGAATACGGGCATGGGGTCAAAATTATGAAGGGCACCCCCGAAGTTGGTGGGCTTCCTTTTAGTTTCCATTTAAAACCACCAAAAAAGAGTTGGTACCCCCAAAAGAAGACAGACCCACTCACCTTACTTGATGGTGGCAAGCAGTTTGTTCACGCACCCGCAGTTTGTACTACATTGGATCGATATATTGAAACATCGATATACCAATGGGTCGATCGATTGGTAGATAGACTGATGGACTTACGTGTGTTTATGATTTACCACGGTTGCCTCGTTCAAAGTTTGAAAGACAAGCTAATGCTGCGAACACTCAGCGCTGAGGCAGAACACCCCGAGAATGCTTGTAGTCAAGATCACATGCCTTGACAGCGAGTTTTCTTCCACTCAGTGACAAGGTCGCTTTTGAACCCATCCATCGTCCATCTCAGCAGTGTTCTGCACACCCCGCTCGGATGGCAGGCCCCCCCCACCCACTCACCCACCCACCCACTCACCCACCCACCCACCCCCACCCACCCACACCCACCGACCCCCCACCCACACCCCCCCACCCACACCCCCCCACACCCCCCCACCCACACCCCCCCACCCACCCACCCCCACCCACCCACCCACCCACCCCCACCCACACCCACCCACACCCACCCACACCCACCCACACCCACCCACACCCACCCACACCCACCCACACCCACCCACACCCACCCACACCCACCCACACCCACCCACACCCACCCACACCCACCCACACCCACCCACACCACACACCCACCCACACCCACCCACACCCACCCACACCCACCCACACCCACCCACACCCACCCACACCCACCCACACCCACCCACACCCACCCACACCCACCCACCCACACGCACCCACCCACCCACCCGAACACCCCGCCCGCCCGCCCGCCCGCCCGCCCGCCCGCCCGCCGCATGTGTTTGTAATCCAGCGTGGCTTTCCCTGCCAGGGCTTCTTGCTAAGAAGTCTCCTTCTGGGTCACATTCGTGGTTGTTGTTGGGAAGCATTTTACGTTTATTGGGAAATCCCCACTTAAGTGCTAAAACTTAAATTGTTGCTCCCCTTTCAACGTCAACCGAGGATTCCTCAGAGGACATTCTTCCAATTGGTACCCTCCCACCCTTTTCACATGGGACCTGACCTTCGGGGGGTTCCTGGTTTGGAGCATTTTTCTTTTCAAGGGACCTTTGGTTCCGAACTTCAAACGTTTCCGGCTGTGAAAAGGTGGGGCCATTCCCTTTGAGACAGACCCATGTACATGGGCGTCCTTTTGACCGGTTCGTTTGGTTAGAAATAGATGGGTTCTGGTTTAGATGGGGGTCTTATGCCATCCATTTTACCAGCACCGATCTAAAAGGTCACCTCCCATGGCATTGTCTGCCACTGCTTAAAGGGAGGTAAGTGGTGAGAAAGCCTAGTGAACTAATCCACACGGAGACTTCTAGCCATGGCTTTTGTGGGGGTATCTCACCATGGTTATGGATATCTCACCACTCTTATATGCACGGCTTTTGTGGGTAACCACATAAAACCACGGCTTTTGCGGGTAAAACCCTACAACCACATCAAACCACGGCTTTTGCGGGTAAAAGCCACATAACCACATAAAACCACGGCTTTTGCAGGTAAAACCCCATATAACAACATATAAAACCATGGCTTTTGCGGGTAAAACCCCATATAACCAGAAACAACTACGGCTTTTGCGGGTAAAACCCATATAACCACATATAAAACCATGGCTTTTGCGGGAAAACCCCATATAACCATATAAAACCAAGGCTTTTGCGGGTAAAACCCCATATAACCACATACAACCATGGCTTTTGCGGGAAACCCCATATAACGGCTTTTGCGGGCAAAACCCTACAACCACATATAAAACCATGGCTTTTGCGGGTAAAACCCCATATAACCACATAAAACCACGGCTTTTGTGGGTAAAACCCATACAACCACATAAAACCACCAACAAGGTTTATTACCCGCAAAAGCCGTGGTTTTATGTGGTTATATGTTTTTTTGCCCGCCAAAGCCGTGGTTTTATGTGGTTGTATGGGTTTTCCCCTCAAAAGCCGTGGTTTTTAGTGGTTATATGGGGTTTTATCCGCAAAAGCCGTGGTTTTATGTGGTTGTATGGTTTATTACCCGCAAAAGCCGTGGTTTTAAGTTAAGTGGTTATATGTTTTTTTTGCTCGCACAAGCCGTGGTTTTAAGTTGTTATGTGGGTTTTACCCACAAAAGCCGTGGTTTTATGTGGTTCCATGTATAACCAAGTAAAACCACGGCTTTTGCGAGTAATAAACCATATAGCCACTTAAAACCACGGTTTTTGCGAGTAAAACCCACACAACCACTTAAACCCACGACTTTTGCGGGTAAAACCCATGCAGCCACATAAATCCACGGCATTTGCGGGCAACACCAATTCGACCGCGTAAAACCACGGCCTTTGTTGGTAATATACAACCACATAAAACTACGGCTTTTGCGGGTAATACCCCATATAACCACCGAAAACCACAGCTTTTGCGGGCAAAAGCCACACAACCACTTAAACCCACGGCTTTTGCAGGTAAAACCCATTCAACCACATAAAACCACGGCTTTTGTGGGTAATAAACCATATAACCACATAAAACCACGGCTTTTGCGGGTAAAACCCCATATAACCACATATAAAACCATGGCTTTGGCGGGTAAAACCCCCATATACCCACATAAAACTACGGCTTTGGCGGGTATGTAACCACATAAAACTACGGCTTTTGCGGGTAAAACCCCATATAACCACATATATAACCATGGCTTGGCGGGTACAACCCCATATAACCAGAAAAAAACTACGGCTTTTGCGGGTAAAACCCCATATAACCACATAAAACCATGGCTTGTGCGGGTAAGACCCCATATAGACAGGAAAGAAGCTATCCTTAAATCCTGCAAAAGAGACACGGGGCGCCGGAGTGGCAAGGAACTTAAGCCGGTCCCTGTCAGAACTTTCTTTGCCCGGGCCGCTTGGAGGCCCAACGTTTCAAGCAAGTTTGCTGTCAGGACCGTCAGGCTACACAGGCCGTCACGGGCTTAGCTTTGCGGCTTTGCCCTTGCCAGCACCCCCTTGAGGGGCAAGTCGGCCGGCGAGTTTCGCTTCTCAGGCCAGCGCGGCTTGCCCAGCGCGCCGCGGGGGCGGCTCGCCACAGGCACGGCTCAAGTCTTGAAGTCGGCGTCGTCTGAGCAAGCTAGTTGAAGAAATGCAATTCACCGGCGGCCGCTGCAGCTTTCAAGCATCAAGCCTTGCTTGCAACTTGCGCCCCTTGGCATGGGTTGGGGTCAGGCGCATTAGGCGGGCATCCTGCAAGCTAAGGCACGCGACACGTCTTCTTTGCCATGTCCGCGCGCTGGGAAGATTTGGCTTTGGAGGCGCACTTGTTGCGAAGGGTTGCAAGCGCGAGCCGCGCGTCTGCGCAGGATGTTGAGCAGTTGTGGGCCGGGCGCCCGGAGCCCGTTTTGCTCGGCTGCGTTTTTTCCACGTCTTGAGGTGACATCTGACGCCTCCTTTTTGGTCGGACCCTTGGAGCCGCTGTCCCGCGCGCAAGTTGAAGCCCCGTTTTCTGCCAAGGCGAGCGGCGGAGATTTCCAAGAGGCTCCGCTTTGGGCTGCGGAGGGCAGGCGGGCAGGGCAATAGCAGCGCCCGCCGCGGAGGTGCCAAGCTTCTTGGACTGGCTGCAGTCCGGCGCCGCGAGCTTCTCATCAAGTTAGACGTTAGCAGGGCCCCTTTGCGGTCAGTCAGCATTTTTACCAAGGTGGCAACTCCAGCCGCGTTGGACACGCGTCGCAGCCGCCGCCGCGAAAGGCGCGTGGTTTGGGCTCGCGCCTCGGCGCGTCCTGGCAAATTTTCTGCGCCGCAAGCGCTCTGATCTAAGGTCGGCGGATTTGGCGTAAGGGCGTTCGCGCTCGCCTTGGGTCAACTGATGTTCCTTTTCGCAAGCATCTTGCCGGGGCTGCCTAGGACCCAAGCCGGTTTGCCCCGCCCCCGCGCGGCAGGGCGGGCAAGTCTGCGGCCCACAGACAATTTCTCGCAGTCAAGATTTTCACGCACGGCAGGTGGAAGCGCCCACGCAGCGGAGGGCGCCCAAAGGCCCGGGCAGTTTCCGGTCGCTTTTCGTTTTTCGCGAAACGCGCTCAGGACCTCCGCGCGCAGGAGCAGGCCCAGGGCCGCCACGAATTGCGCATGCCTCAACCAAATAAATCCACGGCTTTTGCGGGTAAAACCCCATATAACCACATGCAAAACCATGGCTTTAAAACCCCATATAGCCACATATAAAACCATGGCTTTGGCGGGTAAAACCCCATTTAACCACATAAAACAACGGATTTTGCAGGTAAAACTCATAGAACCACATAAAACCACGGCTTTTGCGGGTAAAACCCCATATAACCACATATAAAACCACGGCTTTTGCGGGTAAAACCCTATATAACCACATATAAAACCATGGTTTTGCGGGTAAAACCCCATATAACCACGTAACACCACGGCTTTTGCGGGTAAAACCCTATAAAACCACATTGTAAAACCACGGCTTTTGCGGGTAAAACCCCATATAACCACATATAAAACCACGGCTTTTGCGGGTAAAACCCTAAAACCACATTGTAAAACCACGGCTTTTGCGGGTAAAACCCCATATAACCACATACAAAACCATGGCTTTTGCGGGTAAAACCCAACATAACCACATATAAAACCACGGCTTTTGCGGGTAAAGCCCCGTATAGCCACATAAAACCACGTCTTTTGCGGGTTATCTCGCCATGGTAATAACCTACCTGACGCCTGCATGGATCGCCAGGTCCATGACGTCGGTGCGCAAGGCGCCCAGCGCCACCGAGGAGGCTCCCACGCCGTCCCTTGGGGGAAGTCTGGTGCTGGAAACGGTTTCTAGTCGAGTTCATGGAACAAAAGCAGCAACTGGCGATCCAGGTAGACACAACGAGTAGGATGCCCAGACAAAAAGAGTACTTTGGCGCATTTTGCCAAGGGCTGTTCGGACTTTTTGCCTTTTTGATCCAACATTTAATTGTTTTTTCCACTAAACCGCTAAAAGTTGAACGTTTAGCAGGGGAGCAGAAAGCAACCGAGGCTTGGGTGCGGTGAATCTGTGGATCCACCCTTGGAGAGCAAAAGAGTGCTAAAAGAGTATTACCGTAAAAGAGTTGAACAATTCGATGGGGAAACAACAGAAAGCGCATCCAATCCGTTTGGAGTCTTTGGTTCTCGCCGTGCCTTCAGAGATACGGGGCTTGCCTTTGATAGCACTGGGCATCACAGACCCCAGAGTGCTTTTTTGTTTGCGCACAGGCCAATGTTTTGTTTCGCAGGCAAGCGCGGGCAATGCAAAGCCATAGTCGTGCGAGACGGCCTCCAGAGAGCTTTCCAAAGATGCGTGGTTTTGTGTAGCATGGCAGTGAAGTCAGAAGGTTTGTCACAGAATACCTGCATATATCCCAAAGTGTGCCAAGGTCAAGCTGGTCAACTGATGTTTGCCAACGGCTTTTTTGGCAATCAAACGGCGTTTTTTGGCAATCAAACGGTTCACACAAGTTCTTGAATATTCGCGACTTGCTTCAACGACGTTTTTGGGCACCAAGCGCGTTTATTTAACTTCAATCAGTGGCGGAAATTCGGCGCCCTGGGCTTTCCAGGCATGATAGATTTGTAATTCTACGCGCAGCAAGAAGCTGTTGATGCATGGTTGGACCTGACAAAGCTTTGGAAGCACGTAGCGCTCTGAGGGTTTCTGCTTTGCGCCAGCTCAAACAGGCATGCCTTCTCAAATGCGTGATTTCAAGCCCTACGTTGAACAGCCAAAGGTGAAAGCGCCGCGCAGCTCAGCTTTTGTGGGTCTGCTCAGCAATTGTACTCTCCAGAATGCTTTTTCTGCTTGGGCGTCTATTCTCTTTTCCGTGGGCCTTGTTGCCTCTTATTTGGCCAGTGGCTGGTGCTTCTAGGCGCCAGAAGGAACGCCGCCAAACGCTATCGCCGCAAAGCCAAGTTGCCACCCCCAGACTTGGAATTGAAAAGCCTTACAAAGATGTATTTGCTATGGCCGCCCAGCTCCAAGCACATTGGCGCAGACGCATTTAGCGTGAAACTAACAACCGAACTTTGTGTTTTCCGGGACACTGGGTTGAACAGGCTCCCCACAACAATCTTACAAACAGCGCCCGGCTCAAGATACGCAATGCTGAGGTGTTACAGAAAACGCCGTGATTTCTGGAGTTGCCCCCTCCCCCCCCCTCCCTAGGCTCAATTCTGAGTCCCACGTGCCCATTGTTTTCCATTGGGGTTGTTATAACAAAGGAAGGGGGGTGGGGGGGCTGGTGGCCGGATTGCGGCGTTTTCTGTAACACGCCAGATTTCTCAAAGGCTCTAGGCTGAGCTGCCAATTACTTCCCCCTATCAAGAATGCGCTCTATCATTAATTTGTTTTTCGCGGACCCCTCGTCCAGACCTGAACTTATTAGCTCTCCAAACCAGGTTTGACTTACGATTGCATTCACGTTTGAATTATCGAATTGCAAATTCAAATCTAGAGTGAGCAAATCAGATTGAACTGCGCCGATTTGTTTTGTTCAAGTTCAATATGAACAAAACTGCCTTGAGCGGTTTTCTTTTAAATCGCTAGTGGACATATTGCTGTTTAAGGCGTTTGTGCCAGGTGGCACCCTGCAGCGCCCTTGTGGTACCCAATCAATAGTTTTTTTTGCCCCACGGAATATTGATTAAAAGGGGGGAAGGGGGGTACCCCATGATTGCTATGGGGAAGCCGTTCGCCAAGGCAAAGCTCAAACTAGCATGAGCCTCGCAGCAAAAACCGAGCACGAGCCGGGCACGAACCGGACACGAACCGGGCGCGAACCGGGCATGAGCCGGGCACGAACCGGGCACGAACCGGGCACGAACCGGGCACGAACCGGGCACGAACCGGGCACGAGCCGGGCGCGATCCGTGCGCGGTCCGTGCGCGATCCGTGCGCGAACCGGGCGCGAACCATGCGCGAACCGTTTACGAACTGGGCGCGAACCGGGCACGAACCGGGCACGAACCGGGCACGAACCGAGCACGAACCGGGCATGAGCCGGGCACGAACCGGGCACGAACCAGGCGTGCGCGATCCGTGCACGAACCGAGCGCGAACCGGGCACGAGCGGCACGAACCGGGCACGAACCGGGCACGATCCGGGTGCGATCCGTGCACGATCCGCGCGCGATCCGTGCACGAACCGGGCGCAAACCGGGCACGAACCGGGCGCGAACCGGGCACGAACCGAGCACGAGCCGGGCATGAGCCGGGCAAACCGGACACGAACCGGGCACGATCCGTGCGCGATCCGTGCGCGATCCGTGCACGAACCAGGACGAACCGGGCACGAACCGGGCCGAACCGGGCCCGATCCAAATACGAGCCTCCCAAGCAGAGCGCCACCTGAGCACAACCCAAGCAGCACGAACAGAGCGCGAGCCGGCAGAGCAGAGCACCAATTGAGCACGAACCGAGCACTAACCAAGCACAAGCACGAACCGAGCGCGAGGCGAGCACGCTTAGGGTCGCAACCCTACCTAGCTCGGTTGTGAGTTTCGAGCATAGATGCTTGTTTGGTTTTGGGAGGCAGGCTGCCGCAAAGCCTTGCCGCGTGGAAATAGAGTTTCCGAATTCACGCGCAGATGAAAAGCACTCCTGGCCCCGTGTGCAAAGGCGAGCCCCGAGATACTGTGGATGGCGCGACAGGGGCGGGTGTGGTGAAGGCGGAGCTGTTGTGAGCCTCGCCTTGAGGCTTTGGACTTGGTGAGAGTCCCTTGAAATTTGAGACCCGTACTGTGCATGGTTTCGCGATTTTCCATGCAAGTCTCGCACCAAGAAAGGAAACCATGGGTTGAAACCAGAAGGTGTCATGGTATATTTATAGGGGTATCATCCGAAACCAGGGTTTCTGAGGTGCGAAACGGAGCCCATTCACAGTACCACCTGGAGGGTACAGGGTCCCCCTGCTGCTATGTGAGTGGAGTATGTGGTATGTATCCATCCCTTGGGTTGAGAATGACCCCCATGAGTTTCGGGAATGATAATTTCGAGAATGACGCCTTTAGCTGAACCATCCAACTGGCTTCAGGAATCCCCAGGTTTATTCGCACTCCTGTGATTCCCTGAGAACCCACTCGCGCTGCCAAGGGCCCGGAAAGTGTTTACCAACGTGAGGTCCCGGTTACTATTTAGCTATTTGGGGGCTCATCAAAATGTCCGTTTAAATGGGATGACTATCAGCGAAACCACCAAACAAGATGACTTTCAACACTAATTGGGAAAAGTACCCATGGTCATTTTGGGGCCAGGAATATTGATCAACTCCCATGGTTGACAGGATAGGCGTTGTTGGGCCGAGACGGATCCTGAATCAAATCAACTTTACCTTCTGATCGCAGCCAAGCATGTACTCAGAGCACATGTGCCGATGCTGATGGCCTTGGTGTTCAATGTTTGTTGGTCAGTTGCGACATCAGCTTTCATTCAAACGCCTGCCCCCTACTCCAAATCCTTTTTTTTCCTTCTGAGTATGATGTCGACCCTCTGCTAAAAAAGGAGGTACTGTGGATGGACGAAATCCTGCATCACCTAAGAAACCCTGGAATGATGATTCCCCTGTACATACCAATGAACCATGGTTTCCCATGGTTTCCAAGCGGTGCAGGATTTCGCCCATCCACAGTATTTACCATGGACCACCGATCGGTTTTCTCAACCATACCCTGATTTAGGGCGGGTATGTTGAGTAGGGGGTATTGCTATCTACTAGATACATGGTTTTCAACCTGCAATTGGATGGTTTTGTACCGAGGCTCTTTGAAGCAGAGCACGACGTTGACCAGCTGTACCACGTGAGGGGCCCAGACTCGGCGGTCTCGTCCATGTTTGTTTCAGAGACCGAAGGTTTGGACCATGCGCACGGTGCTAGTTCAAGAAGCTAAGTGTGCTCATGCGTGTATGGGGGGCAATGTGAGCCCATGATATGTCTTCATTGTCAGTCACTGAGTGTTGATGTGGGTGGCGTGTTCAGTGTTTAGAATAGCTCCTATGGAACGAGTCACTTCCTGTGCTGTCGCAATGAGTTTGGCAATGAGTTTGAGCTGGAACAGAGCAAACAGGAGACAAAGACAGCGAGAGGGAGAGAGAGAAAGAGGTGTAGGTGTGCGCACACATACACAGAGACGAGTTTCTGGTGTATGAGGAAATCAAAGCATCTCGGAAGCTGGTGAACCGCAACTTCCGCTCCACGATCAAGGACGTGTCTCCAAGTTGGGATTGGGAATGAGGGGGAAGGCCAGCTGCGTGTACAGACTGCCCGGGAACAAGCTGAAGCACAAAATGTGTAGGAACCATGAGGGTATCGTGCTGTTGTGATACTGTGGATGGACGAAATCCTGCACCACCGAAGAAACCCTGGAAAGATGATTCCCCTGTACATGCCAACAAACAATGGTTTCCCCTGTTTTTCAGGTGGTGCAGGATTGTGTCCATCCACAGTAGTTGAGACAAGATGGCAAGGCAAAATACGCCATTCCCGCCAAGGAACTCTTGAAACATGCTCTCAGCGGATCTTACTTTCACGTTAGTGATAGCCCGCAGTTGGATGAAAGTAGATAGCACCATTCCGCCAATTTGTCCCACTTACTCGGAATAGTGCCATCTACTTTCACCCGTATGCGCGTCAGGCAGTACTTGAAGCTCGAGCTGTGGTCGGACGAGAGAAGGAATGGACCGTGATTCTAATGGCCTAAAGGCCGACTATCTTGACTCACGGTTCGTTGTTTTCATATTGTAGATTCTAGAGCCGTTCTTCTCATCCAAGTCTTGTTTGTATAATATCAGGATTCTAGATATTAAACATTGATTGTTGGCCCACTCATCTCTCTCATTTTTGGTTGCACATGTTTCACATCCTAAAGTAATCTCTGGTAATTGGGAGGGAGATGATGGAGGATGTGACCAAGAATCCTAGCAACAAATTATTTGATTCCAATATTGAGAATTGTGATGGGTAAATAAAATCCAATCCAAGATGAAATAGATTGCATTTGAGTTCCTACAATGGCTTCTGGAATCCTCTAGTCCATCACTTGACCACTACTTCAACAGGATATTATAAGAATGAAGTGATGGACAAGTAAAAGCAAATTAACTAATGCTTGCCTCGCTCTTGACCACGGTCCGCATCCTTCTTCTCTGTTCATGAGTTAGACCGTAAGCTAGAATACAAGAATCAATTGATAGGCTATGTGATCGCTAATTGAGAGAGTGGCGGGGAAATACAGTTGTTGTTTTCTTGTGCCTTGATTCGCATTTGTTGATGTTGGTGGCTTGACTGATATTGCCTAATATGTCCGGCGCGCCTTTAAATTGTACGTTTTTCAATCCGCTTGTGCTGGCTGGCCTAGCCTGCTTCTTCTTCTTGACCTGGCGCAAATCGAGATGTAGCAATGCTTTCTGCATGCACATGCTGCTGAAATTCTCGGACACCCAGACAACTCTTGGCTTGGCTGTTCAGGAGATCAGCCGCATCCAGCAGGCGTTGAACTTGGATTACGCGATTGCTTCGGAGACGGAGTCAGACGGATCCAGCGCAAGCGCAGGCAGGGAGACAGCGCCGGTTTCGAAGCATACGTCTCGCATCTCCCGAAGGAGACGGCAACTTTTAGTTAGCTCTTTTGTTCGGAGACGCGTTTTTTTTGGGGGCGCGCATGTTTCTTTGTGGTTTTAAAGGGACACCGTAACAGGAAAGCCAAAGCCATTTTGGGGGGGTCAACCTCAAAAAAGACACACCGAACTGTTCCAAGCTGTGAGATCTGTGAGCCTTCAGCAGGAGAAGTTGACGCCATCTATGACGAATCAAAAATCTCTCCAAGCTGGGCATGACTCCCCATGCGGGGGTTGATCATGGACGTCCATGGAATGACTTTCGCGACGAAATGGGAAACGCTACCCCAAGATGCCATAACTTGAGAATGTATACCCAAACTACCGTGTGGTGTCGGTTCGGTTTCGAAGCCTATGTACACCCAAATTACCGTGTGGCTTGGGTTCGGTTTTGCAGCCTATCTTGGGGCGCGTCGGTTCTTCACATTGAGTTCATAGCGGTTTGTTTGTTAGCACCAGGTCCTCACAGGAATCGTTCAAATCTGCGGGACCCTGTCCCAAATCGATGCCTTTTGTGGACCAGAAGAAGCGGGTTCTGCTTTCCTTAGCTCTGTATCGCTACACTGGGCCTTTGCGGGGAAAAGCGGTGCGGATGCGTTTGGGGCAGTTCGGTGCCTAGGAGGATCACACGGAGCATCTCCTGCAGCCTCGGTGCATGTGCGGGTGGCGACGGTCGCAGTTCCCCGGCACGTGTCTGTTTGTCTCAAAGTTGGGACTCAATACCCATTGTGGGGCTCTCTCGAGGGTTTCAAATTCTGCGGTTTCCCTCACTAAACAGGGCTCCTTAAAAGATACATTTTGCCCATTTGAAGCATGTTGCTTTTCCACCAAAATGAAGGGACACCACCATTTACAAGGCAATGTTCAGGTGTGTAATGCATCCGGATCCCTGCTAAACAACAGGTTCTTTCTGTGGCTTTCGCTCACACCTAAACAACGGCCAGCGCGGGAGCTCGAATGAAAAAATCGAGATGTTTCGGCCCCAACTGGGTGCCTGGCTTCCAGGTTCGCCTATTCCCCAGGCAGTTGGAGCCAGCACAACCTTTCGCAAGTCATGAATGCGAGGCTTGAAGGCTTCGGAACGAGCGTTGCCTGGGAACTTTTCGGACGCAAGTTCTAAACCTATAGGTGCTTCGTAGGACTATGTTTTTGGTTAAGTTGTCACAAATGCGGTGAGCACTGGATCTCTAGAGTATGGGTTTTCATCCGCCTCAGTGCTGTGATCTTGACGGCAGTGTTCACCGACACAAAGCCCGTTTTGTAGGGATGTCCGAAATGGAATGGCGCGCCGCTCTTTGCATCCATCTGGACAACATAGGCCCAATGGCCCCCCAATGCTCACAATGTTTGTTGATTGCGCAAGTATCCTTCAACCATGAACTGCTCGGCCGCCGGTCTATAGTTCAGACTGACGCAGCCAAGTGTATTCCCGAATGAATCCATCAATCATGGTTCTGTTGGTTGTTAGCAATGAATCAAAAGCTGAGTGTATGCCGCTGTATGCCTCCATATATGAACCCCTGGTATGAACCCCTACTTCATGGCCTGAGTTTGCCCTTAGTTCTGGCTTTTTCCTCAAAAATCAGCCCGTGGTCCAAAATGCCCATGGGTTCATATGGACCTTTCCATTCTGTTGAATGAATGAAGCTGATGGAGTTGGGTCGCCAGGCCAACCAGGTGCAACCAGGTCATGGACCGAAGCAGCAGTATCTGTGTGGGAATGTGCCCTTTACAAGTCTGAAAAATGGATTCAATGGAAATTATTCTTTCTTTAGCCCTGGTTTCACTGGAGGAGACGTCCCGCGAATTTTAGTTTGCACAGGGCGGAAGACTGCCATGGCTTGAACTTTTGATTGATGCCCGCCATCCTTCTCTGCGATAACAGGTCTCTGTTGTCACGTGGCTCTCTGCTTGGAAACTACATAAAAATTGTCCGGATCCTACAAGATGGCGTGCGAGACACGACGCTCTTAGACTAGATCTTTGAGAATACATGAAGCAAAACCTGACAAGACGTCTGTGCATGAAGAGTTCGGGGAGCGGAAATGTTTGAGTTGTCAGGAAGTTGCGCGGCAAGAGAAAGAGACCTCTTTGTGTTGCTGGTGGGACTGACTTCTCGCTCTGGCTTCGTGGAGGGACCCCTGAGGGAAAGTCAACAAGAACTCCTTTTGGGCAACTTGGGCTGAGGATTCGAATGCAAGCTGCTATAGATTTCCCCGAAATGGGCTCCGTCTCAAGCCGGGTCTGAGAATGAACATCTTCCGTTTGCAGTGTGTTTGACTTGCTGGTTCTCAGCAGTGAGTGGGGGAATGGCGCTATCAACTATCCCCTATTGTTTGTTTCCTTGCAGGGAATGTCTAGGTTCATTTCCAACACCCGGGCTGCCGGGCTCGGTCATTCCCTACTGTGGATGGACGAAATCCTGCACCACCTAAGAAACCTGGGAATTATGTTTCCCCTGTAAATACCAAAGCACAATGGTTTGCCATGGTTTCCAAGAGGTGCGAAATGGATTTCGTCCACAGTATTGCGCCAGCAAGTTGATGCTGTTTGAATTGCAGCGAGGCCGCAGCCACGCCGTCCGCGCCCTCTGCGGCGCCGTCGCCCGCGCTGTCGCGGGAGACGACTCCGCCGGCGTCCCCGGCGAAGGCGGCGGCGGCGAGCGCCAAGCCCGCGCCGTCTGCGCCGGAGCTGCCCTCGTCGTCGTCGGTGCCCACGCGGCATGACAGCAAAGTTCCAAGTTCCAGGCGCGGAAACGTAAAGCTCGAATTCCTCAACCTTAACTCTTGGGGTTCTAGTACTAGTAGGCCTTGATAAAAGTCAATAGGGGCTACTAGAAAAAGTTGAACCCCTTAACCCTAAACATTTGTTTCTGGAGCCAAGGGTGGGAGGGGGGGGAACTCTCAGCCTGCTTTGCGAGTTTAGTCAGTGACTTACGGCAGGATCGGATGTGTAGACGTCATCGGCTCGGTTCGGAGCTTGAAGCAGCAGCACTTGGGGAGTGCTTTTACCCTACATCACTTCGCTGTTCTTGGATCATGTTGTTTGGTTTTTTGGAGTTTTTGGGGTTCTGTTCATTTTTTCTGGGGGGTCTTGCAACAAACAGACAGTTTTTAGCTACCATACCAAGAGTAGAGATGATCAAGTTTCCCGGTGTTTTCGCTGAATCACACAAAATGTTAGGCTAATTCAGTGGGTGGGAAACACTATGGCTTCAGTGTAGCCAAATCTGTCTAACGAAGGTTACCAACCCGGACGTGAGGGATTCGGGGCTGGACCATTACATATATAAATATTATGTTGTACATATATAAATATATCATGTTACACATATATATATATATATATTCATATATATATAGATATACAATGTTCTACATATATGGTACCGTGTCCCGTGTTCCAACCCCCCCACCCCCCCATGGCATGGTCTTCGCAGAGGGCCTCAAGCCCGGCCCCCGCCACTCCCACAACCCGCGCAATCCAACCCATCAATCCCTTAATCCACGTATACCAAGCTGAATCTCAAGCCACCAACTCTAAAACAACTCGAATTCCAATCCTAAACCAACCCTAAAACCACCCCACAGGACCACAGCACCACAGGGTGGGGGCTCTATCCTCTCTTACCATGGGGGGAGGCTGCGCCATATATAAATATATATATATATATATGCATGCATATATAATATATACATATATATATATATATATAGACAAAGTCTTTTCCGCCTTTCTTGGGGCGTTGGGGCAAGCAGCAAAAGACTGCGTATTTCCAAGCACAATCTGGAAGCTTCAGGCCCGACTGAAATTTCAGTCGGTTGCAGTCGGGGCCCGGATTCAGATTTGCAGGGAAGACTTCTCTAGGGGATTTTGAACCTTGAAGCTGAAACACGGGCCAGACTAACATTTCAGTCGGGTGAAGGGGGAGCTGGTTTGAATGAGCGCGCCTTTGTCCAGCATTTGCAGTCATTGTCATTGATACCTTGCCCGACCGTACTTTGGCGCCATGTGCTTCTGGGTGAAGGGGCCTTGTCCTCTTCAACTCGCCCGAGGCCGAGGCGTTCGAGACTGCCGCTGTCGAATGCTGCCACTGCTCCCTGGCCTGCCTCGCAACAAGGTCAGACAAGGAAATTCTGGAGTGCATCCATGACGGTTCTGTCACTGTACATCAGTCGCGGCTTCCAAGGACTCAAGATGTCCGCCTGATGCAGTCGGACGCGGTGCTTGGAACTCCTGTGCTGACGCGCGGCTCTTGGGAGCTTTAAAGCCGAAGAGGAAGAAAGGCAAGGCGCTGCTCATTGAGCAGCCACAGCTAGCCATCGCAGATGCGCCTCCTCCAGAGGACACCGCGGCGCAGGAGGACAACGTGCGGGCATCCTCACGCGATGGGGCTCCCACATGGCGTTTCTTGGCGCTCCAGACCTGGCACCGCCTTGGCCAAAGTTTTGCCAATGTCTGCAAACCAACTCCGCGGCTTCTATTGCAATTCCAACCACGTGTGTCATGATTCACAATTCACAACATGGGTGACGGCTGCATGGATGTGATCAAGGCCATCGGCGTTAGCCACGGTGTGTGGTCATAATGTTCACTGGCACGAGCTGAACAAAAAGCCGCAAGGCAGCTCAAAGAAGTCAAGCGCAAGCCAGCAGGTGCCTAAAAATTGTGACTATGATCTTGCGGCGTGCATCCGCTGCATCCAACCCTTCGCGCCTGGGTGTTACGCGCTCCGAAAGCACGCATGCTGGATCGTCGAGCTTCCCGTGGCTGGCCAGAGGTGAAAGGCAGACTCATGTGTCCGAACAAAGCCCAAAACGCGTTTGGAGCCGCCCCCAAAAAGATAGCCGGTTTCGCGGAGCAACCGGAGCACATTGTCCGGCTCATTTACCACCTGCCTCGCTGTTCTGAACATGGCTATGATCCGGCGACTCGGCTACAGGGTGTCAAGAACATCACCCAACAGCTTTCCTTCATAGTAATCCCTCGGCTCGGCGCCTAGACATCGCTGACGCCAAGTCCTTTGTCACCATGCCCGTATGACGCCCAATCACTTCCGGGCCTTGGCCCGCAGCTTTTGTCGAGTTTGCGCGCATAAAGTACATCCTTGCCGTCGTGAGATGCGTCACAGTCGTGTTTGTGGAATCCGCTTTGTATGTCCGCCAGCCATCTGAAGCACAGACAAGCAAGTAGTGTTAGCGGAGCGCGGGCAATCTATGCCAGGTCAGGGTGTGGAGAAGCATCACAGACATGTTCTTCCACCATCTCCAGGTTCACCTGTAAACCTTTGTCTACTACATTGGCACAGGAGCCCGTCGCGCCGAGCGGCCTCTGCTTGGCAACGCAGTCGCTATCCGTTGATGTCTTGCCGGCTTGCAGCAGCAGCCCGGACTGTGGCTTCGCCTGTTTGAGAGATCCAATGACGTTTGCCTGAATGAGTTGTGGTGTGGAGCGTGCGTACAACTTGCTTCCGCTTGCTTTCCCTTGCTCTCTTCTTTGCCTTGCTTTGCGATCCTTTGCCTTCCTTTGCTTTCCTCTTTCTCTCTTTCTCTGCTGTCTTGCTTTGCCTTGCTTTCCCTTGCTTTCCTTTTTAGCCCTGGTGTCCCTTTTCCCGAAAGCATGGCGAAGGGTTCTTCCGCTGGGCTCACTTGAGTTGTTCTCATGAGAGTCATTACAAGGTGTCATTGCAAGAAATCATCATCATAAAAGTCATTGCAAGGAGTCATTGCAAGGAGTCATTGCAAGGAGTCATTGCAAGGAGTCATTGCAAGGAGTCCTTGCAAGGAGTCATTGCAAGGAGTCATTGCAAGGAGTCATGGCAAGGAGTCATTGCAAGGAGTCATTCATGGCAAGGAGTCATTGCAAGGAGTCATTGCAAGGAGTCATTGCAAGGAGTCATTGCAAGGAGTCATTGCAAGGAGTCATTGCAAGGAGTCATTGCAAGGAGTCATTGCAAGGAGTCATTGCAAGGAGTCATTGCAAGGAGTCATTGCAAGGAGTCATTGCAAGGAGTCATTGCAAGGAGTCATTGCAAGGAGTCATTGCAAGGAGTCATGGCAAGGATTGCAACTTGCACTTGACTCCTTGCACTTGCAACTTGCACTTGACTCCTTGCACTTGCAACTTGCACTTGACTCCATGCACTTGCAACTTGCACTTGACTCCATGCACTTGGCTCCTTGCACTTGGCTCCTTGCACTTGCAACTTGCACTTAACTCCGTGCACTTGCGACTTGCACTTGACTCCATGCGCTTGGCTCCTTGCAACTTGCAATGGCTCTCATGACTCCTTGCAATGACTCCTTGCAATGACTCCTTGCAATGACTCCTTGCAATGACTCCTTGCAATGACTCCTTGCAATGACTCCTTGCAATGACTCCTTGCAATGACTCCTTGCAATGACTCCTTGCAATGACTCCTTGCAATGACTCCTTGCAATGACTCTTGCAATGACTCCTTGAAACAAGCAAGGAGTCAAGTGCAAGTTGCAAGTGCAAGGAGTCAAGTGCAATTGACTTGCGAGGAGTTAAAATCTCTTCTTAGGGCGGCGGGGTAGTGCCGACGACACTACACGAAAATCGACCCTCTGCGGGGATCGGCGTGGTCGAGGTGCAAAAACCCATGGTTTTTTGCGATTTCTAAAGTTCCCGCGCGACCCTCTGCGGGGATCGGCGTGGTCGAGGTGCAAAAACCCATGGTTTTTTGCGATTTCTAACCTGCTCGCGCGACCCTCTGCGGGGATCGGCGTGGTCGAGGTGCAAAAACCCATGGTTTTTTGCGATTTCTAACCTGCTCGCGCGACCCTCTGCGGGGATCGGCGTGGTCGAGGTGCAAAAACCCATGGTTTTTTGCGATTTCTAACCTGCTCGCGCGACCCTCTGCGGGGATCGGCGTGGTCGAGGTGCAAAAACCCATGGTTTTTTGCGATTTCTGCGGTGCTCGCGCGACCCTCTGCGGGGATCGGCGTGGTCGAGGTGCAAAAACCCATGGTTTTTTGCGATTTCTGCGGTGCTCGCGCGCGCGCCCTCGAGGTTTTTTGCGACTTTTGTTGTTCGAACTGGTCCTCGGGAGTTGTCTCGTGGTTCGCGCGCCTGCTCCCGGAACCGGCGGGTCGCGGGTTCGATTCCTCCCTGGTCCGCGGGCGGGCGTCGCAAGATGCAACTTGCATTTTACAGCAACTTGCGCAGAGCAACTTGCGCAGAGCAAGTTGCACAGAGCAACTTGCGCAGACCAACTTGCACCGACCAGTTTGCGCAGAGCGCCTTGCCTAGAGCAACTTGCGCAGAGCAACTTACGCAGAGCAACTTGCACAGAGCAACTTGCACAGAGCAGCTTGCACAGAGCAACTTGCAGGGAGCGCAATTTGCACAGAGCAACTTGCAGGGAGCCACTTGCAGGGACCAACTTGCCGGAGCAACTTGCGCGGAGCAACTTGCGCAGAGCAACTTGCACAGTGCAACTTGCGTAGAGCAACTTGCGCAGACCAACTTGCACCGACCAGTTTGCGCAGAGCACCTTGCCTGGTGCTGTCTCGCGCTTGCTTCACGAAGTGTAGGGAAAAAGAACGCATCCTGCAGCGTTGGGCCGACCTCGCTTGCGATGTTCTGCTTTCGGGCCAACCGTGGTCTAGTCTTTCCCCTGCTTGTCCTTGCTTTCCCTTGCTGTCCCTCGCTTTCCCTTGCTGTCCCTTGCTTTCCCTTGCCGACTCGCTTTGCTCTTGCTTGCTTTGCCATTGCTTTGCCTTTTTTCCCTTGCTGTCTCTTGCTCTCTTTGGTTCTTTTTGCTTTCTCTTGCTTTCTCTTGCTTTTGCTTGCTTTCCCTGGCTCTCCGTTTGATGCCCCGTGCTTTCCCTTGCCTTCCGTAACTCAAGCCTACCCCAACCCCCTGCCGCAGGGACCCCCTGCCACAGGGAGGGGTCCTAGACCAACCCTGAACCAACCCTAAACCACGCCCCTCTATGTATATATATATATATATATCAATACCCACATATTGCGTGGTAGGTTCCTGGCCCAAGACCAGGTTTTCGCAAGAAGGTTATGGCTGGGAGGTTTGTCGTCGGTCAGGTCAGCCAGATCCCTGCTGCCGGAGTCGCGGGAGAACTCGGAAAGGGGCACTCCCAGACCAGCTCAGGAGTGATAAGCCGATGCGGTGCTCGACCCCGAGGCACTAAGAATGTGTCCCGTGCTGAAACAACAAAGGATCAAGCATATGGGCGTGCCCTTGTCCCTTTAAACCCACAAGAAAGGCGTACTAGTACCAACTCAGAAAAAGAGGAGCCACCTCTGCTAATTATGCCTCGGCGCCACCGGGAGTGTCGGGGTTCTGAGGACGAGAACTACCAGGACACTCGGCGCCCCTCGCGCAGCAATCGCTCAAGATCTCGTGAGCCAGAGGCAGAGCGAGGCGGGATACAGCAACCCCAAGGCTCCGCCCTCAAAATAGGTTGTTTTCAAGGGCCCCTCAAAGGTTCGAGTTCTTCATTGGAGGGCCCGGAGCCCTGCAATGAAGGGGTCATGAAGCAGACAAACATTCGTAGATGAGTGTAAGTGAAATGGTTGTGGCTCAAAATCAAACAGGAGAGGAGAATGCTTTTCCTTTTCTTTCCTATTCCCTCGATTCAAGGATGAGGATAGGTGTACCGCCTGGTGAAGAGGATTCCGGTCGCTGTCATATCACCCGTCCACCATTATTATTCTAGATTTGTAGGTGTGACGGGTTAGTGAAATCCCAGAAACAATTAGAGCTCAGAGAAACACAGGTGTTGGTCACTTACCAGGGTTTCATTTTGGGTACTGGTTTTTGAAGCCACAGCCAAATGTTCGCTCGTTCACAAACATAGGCACTAGATAGCCCCTTGCAAAGGTCACTATGTAGTGTTAGCTCAGGTTTCCATGACAGCAACATCTTTGTTGCAGGATTTTTAACTCATGAGGCGCTTAATCATCAGGTTTGGAAAATCAGAATCGTTTCCTGCTATTGGTTCAGTGGGCAAAGCTTGATCATGTAGGCTGTCCTCCCCAGTCAACAGTTGCGTGAAAGTTGCCGATTGTCCACTCACGTTCGGAAGGATCAAAACTGATGCAACGCATATCCTGGAGCCATCTAACCCTAACCTGGTACCGTTGAAACCACTGATGTTGCCAAGCAAAGAGCAATGGACTTCACAGGTAGTTTTTCGTGTACTTTTGATCAATTGCTTCAGGGCTACAATGGGCTACTGCCGCCAATCCCGCTTCTGGAAGCTGTGCCATTCGATTGATTTGATGCTTAAGCAGGCATGGAGCGACCCGCGATTGACAGGTTTGGTCTGCGAACTTGGGACTCGTAGTTTCTCACTTGCGGCTTTGCGCCATCTGAAGCTCCTTTTCACCAGCCCGGGCCCCACGCTCGTTGTCGGAGGTCCCGGAGGGGTGGTCGAAGCACCGAAGCGCATTTGGAAGCGGGTGCGGGAGATGTGGACGCAGACGGAGATAGCGCTCGAAGAGAGGGGAGCGCAGACGGATCCCATGCAGAGGACGGGAGGGGAACAAAAGGCGTGGTTAGGGCCTGTTTTTTCTGAAGCCACGTAGAGGACGTTTGTGGGCTTAAGCTCATGTGTCATGAACCTTGATGGCTGCATCTCGTCATAGGTGGTGCAATGGCGATGCTTGGACGTCAACACAACGTGGGCAACCATGTGGCTGTGGCTCAAACATGGGGGTCCAAAATGGAACCCTGGTAAATAGAAAGATAGACTAAAACCTGCGTAGCCCCAGCTGTTTATTTTTGAGCCACACCCATGCATCGTTTGTCGGTATTTCCTGTTCAGGCGACCTATCGCGGTTTGCAGGGTGTGGGCATGAGTCGATGAACCAGGGGATGTAGGGAAGTTTGATTGCTTCCATTTGCTTCAGATTAGTTTGTGTTTCCCCCTGTTGGGTTTAAAGGGAATCGGTTTCACTACTAAAAATATGTGTTCTTTTTCCAGTGGACTTAAGCAAATGGAGGTCGAGTCCGTGGTAGGGAATATTGATTGACAGCTTAGCTAGATCTGGTTTCCAATCAGAATACCAACTTGGAACTTGTTGAAGCATTGTATCTTGGGAACCCAGTACCAGAAAACCGACTCCTCTAAAAGTTGGGATGGCAAAGCACCGGCCCAACCATCCTAAACCGGACAATTCCCCCAGTCGACCGGTGGACTTTTTCGAGTTGCGTTGCCCATGATGCTGTGCAGGGTGGCAAAGAAGACGCGCCTTGGCCGCAGGCTGCTGAATGGAGGGGTACCGTTCCTCCGTTGCCACGGCCACATGGGAGGGTACCCGGAAGATCAGTTTCCGGTTACCGGTGCCATGGCAGCGTGGGAGGGAGGGTAACTACTTTAAGGGGCAGGGTACTTAGTAAGTGGATAGTAGCCATGGCTATAACCCAGGTACCATGGTTATAAGTCTCCGTTCAGTGGGTTATAGCCAGGCTTTCTACCCCATGTTAGTGGGAGGTGGTACTCAAAGTCCAAGGGCAACCGGCTGAATATTGACTGAAGATGGCTCCAAGTCGTGAGAGAGTCGGCTTCCTTGATTACTTCCTAAGTTTAATGTGGGCACCCACCGTAGCCGAACTTTTTGTTTGCTTTGCGATCGTTTGGGCGAGACTTGGCGCCATGCGCGTCAATGTGGTCTTGCCAAATGGGACTAGCTGCCCCATTGCAGTGGCGCCGGAGTCGACAGTCCGAGAACTGAAGGTTTCGGCGCAACAGCACTTCCAGCGCTCTCTGAGGCTCGCCTTCGGAGGTCAGATGCTGGACCCATCGTCTACTTTAGTTGAGGCGGGTTTAAGAAATGAGGACAGTGTGACTGCAATAGTGCAGCCTTTCAAGCGGCTAGCTTCCACAGGGCAAGCCTTCGCCCTGCATGAAGATGGTGGCACAGCACTCGCTTGGGGCTCTCCTCTATATGGTGGTGACATCCGCCAAGTGAAAGATCAGTTAAGGCAGGTCCAGCAAATCCAAGCAAATGTCGGTGCTTTTGCTGCCATGCTGGGCGATGGCTCGGTGGTGACGTGGGGCTGTCGAATCTACGGCAGTGACAGCAGCCAAGTGCGAGAGCAGTTGGTGCGTGTCCGCAAATACAAGTTACCGCAAAAGCTTTTGCTGCAATTTTGGACGACGGCTCTGTGGTGACTTGGGGCTCTTCCGCCGAAGGTGGTTACAGCAGCCGGGTGCGAGAGCAATTGCTGCGGGTCCAACAGATCCAAGCGACTATGGCTGCTTTTGCTGCCATACTGGCCGACGGCTCTGTGGTGACTTGGGGCCATCCTGCTTATGGCGGTGACAGCAGCCAGGTGCGAGAGCAGCTGGTGGGTGTCCAGCAGATCCAAGCAAATAAGACCGCTTTTGCTGCCATCTTGGACAACGGCTCTGCGGTGACTTGGGGTTTTCCTGACCACGGAGGCGACAGCGGCCAGGTGCAAGAGCAGCTATGGAGCGTCCAGCAGATCCAGGCAACCGAGCAAGCTTTTGCTGCCATCCTGGCAGACGGCTCTGTCGTGACTTGGGGCCTTGCTGACTGCGGCGGTGACTGCAGCCAAGTGCAGGAGCAGTTGGTGCACGTCCAGCAGATCCAAGCCACTAAGGCTGCTTTTGCTGCCATTCTGGCCGACGGCTCTGTTGTGACTTGGGGCGAGTCCCTCTCCGGCGGTAACTGCAGCCAGGTGCGACACCAGTTGGTGCAGGTCCAGCAGATCCAAGCCACTAAGGCTGCTTTTGCTGCCATCCTGGACAATGGCTCTGTAGTGACTTGGGGCGATCCTGATTGGGGTGGTGACAGCAGCCAGGTGCGAGAACGGTTGGTGTGTGTCCAGCAGATCCAAGCAAATATTAATGCATTTGCTGCTATCCTGAACGACGGTTCTGTGGTGACTTGGGGGCTTGCTGACTGCGGCGGTGACTGCAGCCAAGTGCGAGAGCAGTTGGTGCACGTCCAGCAGATTCAGTCAGCGTACTGCCAGTTGTTTGGTGGTGCTTTTGCTGCCATCCGGGACGATGGCTTTGTCGTGACTTGGGGCCATCCTTCCTCAGGCGGTGACAGCACCTGGACCTGGAAGTAAGATGCATAGTTCAGCAGACAAACGATTTTCGCTGCGTATTCTTGCAGAAGCCGGTGAGCATGATGTTTGCCTGCGTCAGTGGTCCTCATATCTTGCCTGCTGGTTTAAGCATACCTTTCAGGGTGGGGTCAGGTTGAAATCAATGTGAACTTTAGATCAAGCCGCAGGACCATGCACTCAAATCAAGACTGTTGTCCCTACCAAGGGCAAACCCTGATTCGTATGCTTTTCAGGACTGTTCCGAATTACAGGGAAGCCCTGTCCAATGTTCCTCACGTCCAGGTGTTGTATATTTTGGTGTCGTGCCCCATTGAAGCGAAGAGGCGTGAAGAGTCTCTTTACGACGACGGCTAGCATCCAACTTTCTTGGCTTGTTTCCAGCAAGCCGAGATATGTTTGGATTAGCTTGGGGTTTATTCGGCGTTGATTGGTACCGCCCACCCTTATTTAATCACGGTTTCATGCCATCCAATCGATTTTCAAACTTTGTGAGCCAGCTGTGCAATTGTTTGCTCGGAAGCGTGGCATGAACATAGTTGAACATCCATATTGTGGATGGACGAAAACAGTCTTGCGCCACCTAAGAACTCCCTGGTTTCTGATGATTTCCCTGTAAATACCAACAAACGGTGGTTTCAACCATGGTTTCCAAGTGGTGCGAAGTGGATTTCGCAACCATCCATAGCTAGACTCGAAGCAATGCATCCCTGTGTTGGCCAGGAGACATGGCATGCGAATTGCATGACGCAAGCTGAACCAGGACAAGTTCCACCACATTGACCATCGACATGAAACACAAGTCTGAAAGGAACTAGTTCAGCCATGATGGATCTGGAAAGTGAGGGCTCGGGAGTCTTTGCCACGAGTTCTCTCATGAGTGGTTCTTTCATAACAGTTGCTAGACATGTAGGGAACATTGTTTCTGAGCCTCGTTTGTTTCTCCTGATTCAAACAGGTGACATTCAAGTCAGTTTGGCCGCAGGCAGTTTGGTAAACTTCAGAGAAATCACGCAGCCAAGCCAAGCCGCTATCTAAGGCCGGGATTTGCCGCCTCCCTCTTTGGCAAGAAGGAGATGAGGGGCAGTTATCACCTTGCGTATTTGCTTGGTGGTCTCTCATGAGCCAGCAAATGTCAAGTTGGAATCGACGGCTTCGTCTGAATTGCCGTGACCGGATTTGCTGCTGCCGCAAGGAAAAATCCGGGGACATGGGCCGGAAGATGACCATGAACGATTTGGACACCATGAAGGCACGTGCACGCTGCTCGGCGAGAATCGGAGTGCGTGACGAACAATCAGGTACTCCTTGGTTGGTGGTTTGGATTGGTGGCTTGTGAGTTGGACCGTGGCTTTTGTAGAGGGCACATGGGAAACCCCTCCAAAAGACCACCAAACCACCGGGTTCCAAGCCACCAATTAGAGGGAAGTTGAGAGAATGTTTCGAATGCCACCAGTATTGGAGCGATGCGAAGCCTTGCGAAGGGGGCAGACGCAATTTGCTCTTTGCAGGTGGGTGGGGGGGCAACGCTATTAAAGCGAACCGGGTTGTAGCCAGGCTTACTAACCACTTGCTAAGTACCCTTTTTGGTTATTTCAGTGGGGGTTGAAACGAAGCACCAGTGGCCTTTTATCTTGGTGGCTCCCAGCCATCCCCTTGGCCTTTTAGCTTTTTTTGTTTAGCGGTTGGATTTCCATTTCACTCTCCAGGGGATCTGAGGGCAGCCCAGTTGGGATGTTCCTATGGCAAGCTTCGCGGAAGGGCAGCTTGATGGATCTGGAAGCTTGATTCCTTTGCCCATGGTGCATGCAACCTTGGGTTTGTCTTCTAAAACGCAGGAGATATCCGAACACCCACATGAACCCCAAGAAGCTAGGAAATTGAAAGCTGGTCCTGTAAGGACTTGGAGAGGGGAGCAAAGCCTTTCGGACATACATCATTCCTCGCAGGCTCTTTGGAAGCGGGCGCAAGCCTGTGATATTCGCTTGTTTGAGAGCGCAGACCGGTGTCCGGCTCGTGCGCGCACAGCTTTTTCCGGGGTATTTGGCTGTGGGTCAAAACCAATGGTACCATTTTGGGATAGGTGCACCACCCATTTTAGCTTATTTTAGTGGGGATTGGGATGGGGTTTTTGACCCATGGCCATTTGAGTGCCTGCTGAGGAAAGGCCTTGATGAAGCCGAGACTTGGCTGCCAACGGAAGGTTTCAATTGGATGAACCCGGACAGCTAGGGCCTTGCTCTTTGCAGCCTTTCGCAAGGCAGTACGACGTGACCAACTTCTACAAGACCGAGGGTTGCTTCCAAGCAATTGCAAGGCCTCAGACCCGCACGAGTTTTTTTGTCGACCCCGGAACCCTTCTTCCAGCCTCAGACCCGGGGTCGAAAAATCGCTCATCGCGCCTTAATCTTGCCACTTGGCCCCAAAATGACCGTGGACATGTTTCCCCATTTTATAGGAAACACCATGTTTTTGGTGGCTTTCCCCAATGGTCATCGCATGTAAAAGACCTTTTGATCAACCAGATACTGTGCTTTGTTTGTTCGGTTTGTGTGTCCGGGAATGCCACCGCCGAATTGAACAAGGAGGGCTGAAGTGGTCCAACATTAGAGGACCTTGGACCCTTTCGACTGTCACCGCTTTTTCCTCAGGCAGATGTAACTATGCGGGTGGGACGGCACATTTATGAGGTGAGATAGTGCCCCTGGCACTCCTGCCTTGCCGCGCATCATTGTTGTGGTTCTCGGCAAGCGCTAGAAATGTCAAACAAAAGTATAGTTGGAGGCACGTTGCAGATGGCATGGCGTGGGTTTGATGGGAAATCTTGAAGCGTGCAAGGCACAAGTTGAGATAAAAGGAGCACCGCCAGGTTAGTATCAGGCGGACCTCGAAAAGCCGCATTTGCCTGCAAAGCAATGGGGAGGCAAGCATTTTGTCAGTAGGTCAGTGTCATGTGGGCTAAGGGTTCACTTGCGGACGAAATGCTGGATCCTGTGACTGGACAACAAAACAAATAAGTAAAGCAATTAGGCTGTTCCGAGTCACGGGTTTCCTTCACTTTACCGAATAGCCGGTGGCTGCCTAGTTTGCTCAACAGCATTGAGCGATGCTGCGAGGGCATGACTCTCCCGAGTGTCAGGCTTGATAGAGATGCTCACATACTGACAAAGATTTTCCGCCGCGAAGCACCAAGTCAAAAGAGGCTGATGCTGGCGATTGCAAGCAGTACCAGACCCGCTGCAAAGGGGAATAGAGTTGAATGGACGTAAGACAACTCAGAGCTCTGGATATAGCCTAAGAAATGTTCTCGTTTGTTGCTAGTGCTATGGGCCTTCGACTGTAGCGCGTTGTCCTTCGGCAGGTCGTCCATGTTTGACCAGTTCACAGTGGCCATTGTCAGCATCAACGCCATTTGGATTGTGGGGCAGCCCAGACAGCCGCCGTCGCTTGGGTTTCAACTCTTCAGCAAATGCGTTGACTGCGAGGGGACGTTTGTCCATGCGGAAAGCTAATGAGCAAAGAGGAATCCGCTGATACTGTGGATGGACGAAATCCTGCACCAGTGGGTAGGAGGTGTATCCCATTTTTTATAGAATGTTTCAACTCCAGCCAGGCGTAGGTTGCTTGGGCCAAGCCTGCTTTGAGTCTGTGGACTTTGAAACAGTTTTGTACCTACACTCAGACTAAGAGCCAGAAGCTCCCACAAGGCCTCTGTAAATGGAGCCAAGTCTTTCATTTCGGGCTCCGTTCGGCGCTGGAATTGGCTGGGACCACCCACCTGGAAGAAATCAGGCGCTTCCATCAAATCGGCTGGGGGAGGATACCTTCCACACATCACTTGAACCCCCAACCTGGAAGAATCCAGGCGCCATGGAATCGGCTGGGGGAGGATACCTTTCACACGTCACTTGAACCACCAACCTGGAAGAATCCAGGCGCTTCCATGGAATCGGCTGGAGGATACCTTTCACACGTCACTTGAACCCCCAACCTGGAAGAATTCAGGTGCTTCCATGGAATCGGCTGGAGGATACCGTTCACAGGTCACTCAAACCACCAGCCATACGTGCCCTTTTTAGGTTAGTTTGGCTAGAAATAGATTGGTTCCACTGGTTTAGATTGGTTTTATTCCATTTACCAGGGCCATCTATTTTACCAAAAGGGCACTGATGGCACCAACCTGAAACAAAAATCAGACGGAACACCTTTGAAGCGAAGCTCAGGCCATTGATGCGGACAACAACGATGCCCTTCTCCTTTATCAGGCAGCTTGAGCCAAGCATCTTGCCTCCGTACTGTGGATGGACGAAATCCTGCAGCAATGATGATTCCCCTGTACATACCAACAATCCATGGTTTCCCATGTTTTTCAGGCGGTGCATAATTTTGTCCATCCACAGTATCATTGATATTTGGGGTCTGTCATTGTTTGAGGGGAACCTCGAAAATGGTGGTGTTCCTTTTGGTGTCACCTAAAAAAAACACCAACAAAGGGTAGCATCAAACCACCCATTTATGTTTTTGTGCTCACTTTGGTTTCCAAGTGCTTTTGCGTCCTATTTGGAGTTCATGTGTGCAGCCGATTGAGTCGCCGCGATGGTAAGAGGCATGCCTAGTTGCTGACCCCATGATTTCGGGGAATGACTCCATGATTTTGGGTAATGACCCCATGATTTTGGGTAATGACCCCATGATTTTGGGTAATGACCCCGATTTTTTCAGAGTCAGAAGGAGACCCCAGGTATTTTGAGTAGGGAGCACTTTGCCGGCTTCATTTCGGAAGGTGTCACCGGAAGCCTTGGCCCCAGCACCGCCTGCCTTGCGCGTGCGTCTGGCGCCAGGCTGCGCCGGTCTTCCAGGTGGTGGAGAACCTGTAGCGGCCCAAGGGGCATCACCAAATAGGGTTGTGGGGAGTGGTAAATAGGAGACAATTCTGTCATGGTATGGAAAGCTGTTGTGAAGCGTGGTTGGTGCACACCCTCTATGGGGATTTTTCGAAAGGTCTCACTTTTCGCGTATAAAGAAAAACGGAGGCGTGGAGGATTCTGATGCGATTCAACGGGAAATACCCATAAACTGGTTTCAACGGATGTTGAGTCCTTTCGGGTGTGAAAACCAGATTTAGGGGTGGCTCGAACGGTGATTTACATGGGGGGCTCATTCGGGAAACCACCAAACAAGACGTGGGAAAAGTTAGCCATGGTCATTTTGGGGCCCTATAGATGGAATATTGATTAACCATCCCATGTCACCACCATCAGCAGGTTTTGTTGAGAGGCAAGCGGTGTGCACGGTGTGGACCCCTGGGTTCCCGCGAGGTTCTGCACCTACTTCTTCGCCGCAGCTTGGTCCGAACTTGGCAGCTTGGTGTTTTAACGAACCGCAGCTTGCGGGCTTGGTTGAAAAAGAACGCGGGCTTGGAAGTAGCAATCTTCAGATTTGCTTTTGCTCGAACTTCTCAGAGGTTGACTTGCATTTCTTGTCCACATTCCTTGGAAGCCTGTATTGGAACACCAGGCAAGAGCCTCGGCAACAGAAGGCACTCTCAAGCCCCCAGCAACAGTCAAGTCACACGAAATGGCTGTGGGTCAAAAATTGGTACCAAATGGAACCCTGTTAAATGGAAAGAAGGACTAAACCCTGCGGTCCCCCGGTGGTTCGATTTTAGCCCAATTGCACTCATTGAAGTTTCCCATTGAATCAGGAGGTCCTTATCCGCTTTGGTGCCTTCGCACAGAAGAAGCGGGCCTTTATGGACAAGTGCCATGGCGAAGAAGTGCGTGGCCCTCCAAGCACGTTCACTTCCATTTGCTTAATAATATTTCCCTTGTTGGTTTTAAAGGGAATCTATCACTATCTGGAAATATATATATATATGTTATTATTTTTTCCCGGGCGCTTAAGCAAATGGAAGTTGAGGACTCCTTGCAGAAAACATGTGCTTGCCGTTCGGGATGTCATTGGAGCATTTGAATCGAGCTTGTCAATTGAACAGGGAAGCACTCAGGTGGTTTGTCTTCGACGCGGTGCTGGTGCTGAATATGGTCATAGAGACCTGGGTTTTGCCACTTGCGTGCCTTGCATGGAGCAGCTGATTCGCGCTGGGCGAATCACGTTAACAGCAAGGATAGCATGGAGCGCTCTTCGTAGTGCCGTTTTTTGTGCTTGCCATGCCAGGACAAAGAAATTGGCATGTTTCAAGATGGGGCCGGTTTGGTGATGCAAACCGCAGAACTGCTTGCAGCGTGCATCCATTTCCAGTTGAAGCCTGGGGCAAAGAGTTGTCCCAAAGGCGCTTCGGGTTTCGCATTGGCCTTCCTTGCCTTTCGCTTGCCCGGCGGCTTGCAGCCGGCACTGCAGGTTAATGGCGTTCAGCTCAGAAGATTCTGCAAACACCATAGATGTCTCCATGCTGCGCACCTCGATTGCAGTGGCTCAAAAAACCGGGATCCAAAATGGGCTGCCCTGGTGGACCAAAACCTGCGGTGTGCCCCTCCGATCGTTTGGTTTTGAGCCACACCCAAGTCTAAGTGCGTTGCACTGCTGTCTTGTTTGAAGAGGTTGAGAGTCCAGCTTGGTTTTGGTCTTGTAACTGGTCCATATGCAGCCTCAGGCAGACATGATTCCCGCCAAAGTGGTTGAATCATCCCTCGCTTGGCTGGTCTCTTCCCCAGCTCTTGCTTGTTTGTTCCAACCATTATTGCTATAGTTGCTGTATTAGCAGTGATGGCGCAAGGCATACACGGACACACATACACACATCGCGCACACACACACACACACGCACGCGCACCTGGCATGCATTCGAAGCACGCAACAAAGCAAGTCACGCACAGAGAGACAATAAAACCAAACACGCAAGCACTCAAACAAAGTGCAACCATGGGTCCACGATGCATATATGCATATGCATATATATATATATATATACATCCATTGGCATATATCTATCATATATATATACATATATATATGGGTATACACACATACACGAGTAGGGCTTTACTTAACGTTAATTGCAATATCCATGGAATTTGATTTTCTATTTCTATTGGAGGATTTAAGTCAGCAAGCGGGATGTTCATCAACACAAATTGCAATTTAGGTGGATTTTGACAAGTCCCCACAAAGGTTTACACCATGCTACAGAGGCAGATCACGTGGGTTGGGGTGGGGGTGAGCACCTCTATGTATGTATATATCGATACATAGTTATATATAATATGTCTCTTACATGTATATTGCAAGCGCCCCGGGCTCTGTGTGTGTATGTGGGCATATACAAAGGGATGCTGCAACCCCCCCCCCCCCCGCTCCCAATTCCGACCAACATTGCATGTGTCCAGCGTTTTCACATTCAATATTTCCCAAGCATCTTTCTTTAGTTTTCTTTAGAAACTTGAATCCTGAATCTTGAGCAGCGTGACTTTGAAGCCACTTTGAGTAAATGGGATTCAAGATTCCCCAGTCATCTTTTTCCAGCATGCTGAATCGTTGGCAGCTCCGGCTTAAAAGAAACAAAACGCAAAGTACACCTTGGCAGCTTCAACGTGCCTGCAACAGCTCTGTGATATTTACTCCTATCATGTTGCAGGGAAAAGCAGCAACACCTTTAATATATGGACATGGGTTCATTCCTATCTAAATTGCCATTTGACATTGAAACCCAAAGCAATTACAAAGACACTCCATGTCCTTGCGCAGTTCTATGTGCATTCTAATTATTAACTCTATGACAAAATATGTTTGGAAAGCAACACTAGGCGAATGAGTTTGTCTTCCATTTGCTTAATAATATGCGTGTTTTGCTCGTTGGTTTGAAAGGAATCTGTCACTACTGGAAATATGTTGTAGTTTTCCAGGGGGCTTAAGCAGATGGACGTGTTGCTTATCTAGTTTGATCCAGTTAACAACATTTGTTGAACATTTAAAATGCTGTTTCAAGTTCAAACCAAATTCAGCTTTAAGCAAATGCATGTCCCTAGGCAAGAAAATAGCAACGTTTGAAGTTGCAAGTTGAAGTTAAGATCAACTTCAATTTGAGCATGCTAATTGCACCGCAAAAAAAGGAATCTTGATTTCGACCACGCTCGGGGGGGAATGCATTGTTTGGCAAAGTGCTCAGATGTTGCGCAATATTCTCCGAGGCTTTCAGCTCGCCTGGCAAATGTTGTTCAACCTCGGCACCAGAGAAGAAACAGCTCCCAACTTTCCGGGAGATTTTTTTTGGGTTGCTTTTGTTTTTGTTGTTTTGTTTTGTTTGAAGTGTTTTGGTGGTTTTGTTTGGTTGCCAGGTGTTGGCGAAAAAAAGTTGCACCACACTCGGGGAGCTGAAGCCAGTACGTTGTGTCCCCCTGGACTTGTACTTGTTTTTTTTTTACAAAAAAAATCACTTTAGGGTACAGCTGAGCCTACTTGGCTCCACCCCACGAGCTATGCTCAACTGGACCTTTTTACCCGACTGCGCCAATCATGTGTGATAAGAATGCCGACCATTTTGGTGAGAATTCTTACGGAATCTTGATTGAGAGCAGCCCCCTCCTACCTGGCGGATGTTTTGCTTGTAGGACACTCACAATTGGTCCTACTAGGCAATCAAGCCTCCAAGATGCAGTTCGGGCTACCAGTGCCCGGGATCCGAAGAAGTGAACCATTACCCCTTGTGGCGATGTTCAATCCATGGTACTCATGTCATCATGTCCAAGTCTGGGTGCAGGGGCTGGCCCTGCCACATCAAGGTTTTTTTTTGAGGGCTCCGAACTTCTCCCAGAGGCTTTTTCATTTTCGATCATGGTCGAAGATCTCAGGGTTAATTGACGATCGCGAAGCGATCAAGGTGAAGGTCAAGTGGCAGTGGGTTCAAAAATTGTTGGTACTCCCAAAATGGCTCTGGTAAGCGGAAACACGGACTGAATTTCCTGCGGTCGAGATTCCCGGCGACTATGTAATTTTGAGAGAGCCATAACCAACCAGTTCCATTGGAAAACGCGACGGGATACCGGCCAGGACCCCCCAATGGCTGGCAAATGGTCTGTGGAATGACCTCCCAATGGCTGATTTGCCAGGCATTGGGGGGTCCTGACAGCTCTCCCGGATCCTCATGGCTCGCCTCACTCGCATGGCTCGAGTCGCTGGAGGCATGCTGCGCCTGGTGAAGCTCACCCGCCTCAGCCGCGTCACCCGGCTGCTGCGCTCGGTGCCGGAGCTGGCGATCATCGTGCCGCTCGCGCGCATGCGATCGCACGATGCGCGAAGTGGGGGAAGGGTTAGGTGCAGGGATGGAGTCTGCTTCTGACCCTTAAAGAATGGTTGGTCATTACCCAAAATCATGGGGTCATTGACCCATATTTGACGGGTCATGGAGACTCCAGGGGGATGGATTGGTTGGTTGGTAGATCACAAAATCGAGTTGTTGAACTGCGAAACAGCTTGAGACGTTCATTTGCCCGAGTGAGTATTGAGTAGCGGTTTGGCAAGCACAGCTATCACAAGGAATTGTGCCTACTCGTTCGCGTTTTGGGAAAGTGCATTACGGATGCTGTGGCAAGGGGAGTCTTACGTCACAGCTCGAGCGCCATTTTATCCGATCCCGCTGGCCTGGCCACCTGACGCTGAGAACATTGTCAGTTGAGCGGAACGGCTTTCATGTGGGGGCTGATCAAAAGGTCCTTTACGTGGGATGACCAAACCATCTTAAGAAAAGATTACTTTCCGCACGAACCGGGACAATCCTATGGTCATTTGGGGGCCGAGAATATTGACAAACCCTTATGTGCACACTTCGAGTTGTTCACGGGCCTACATCGTAGTGGCTAGATCTACTGGGCGCCGCGCAACTTCAGCTATTTTTGCCACTGACCCGGACATGTTCTTAGAGCCAAGGGAGCGGAACTTGCCTTTGGAGATACTGTGGATGTACAAATTCCTGTGCGCGACTTGGAAACCATGGGAAACCATCGCTTATTGGTACTTGCAGGGGAATCATCAGAAACCAGGGCTTCTTGGGTGGTGCGAAACGGATTTCGTCCATCCACAGTATGAGCTTGACTCGGGGAATGAAAGTGCAGCCGTTGGCGTGCTTCCATAGTTGGTGTCCCTTTTCAGGAGGGATGTCTTGGGTCCAGCTGGCACAAAACCAACTTGGGGCTTGGAGTCGAATCACCCGGGCAAGGCGACTATGGCCTTCAGCAAAGTCGTCTTGGAGATTCCGGGTTGAACATTCAGTTCTCATCAACCTTCCCAGCCATCCCCAGAAAGACTTTTGGCTTTGTGCTCAGTGGTTGGATTTTCGTATTTGAGCCCACGAAAAGTTAATGAAGCTTTTAGCGCATCAGAAAACGGGCAGTCAACCATCTCCTTCGACTTTAGATCGTTTTAGTGTTTAGTGGTTGGATTTTCATGCTAAACGTTGATTAAACTTTTAGCGGATCTGAACACAGACAGTCCATCACCTTATAAGACTCTTAGCGTTTTAGTGTTTAGTGGGGATGTCCATTTAAAAGTTAATAATTTAGCGGGCTCTGAAAACGGACAGCCCAGTCAACTTGGCACAGCTGCAACGATTCATGCCAGGCGTGCATCGCTTTTGCGCTTTTTTGATTCGTTGTTCAGCCCCAGGAAGGCCATCGGCCTCTCGGCCCGATCTGTCAGCGTCTTCTTCTTGCTGTGGTTAGCCGCTTGGGCCGAATTCTGGGAGAGTCCGGGTGGCCGCAGGGGGAAACTGGTGTTTCGGCGGAGCTTGAGCAGCTGACTTTTGTCACATTCTGATCTGTGTTTTTTGTTTAATGATCTTGAACAGCTGACTATGGTCACATCAGGTCCACCTGTGGGCAATTTAACCAGCAAAAGACATGGCGCCGACATGCGTGGGGCATGGCCCCGAGAATGTTTGGGGAATTCACATCCAACACCAGCAAGGGCCAGTAAGAAGCCTTTGTGCTCACCTAGTAGCTGATGGGCTTGAACAGCCGCATGCTGTGGCAACTGATGTCATTGCCACTTGGATCAGTTTCTCTCGAGTTCGGTGCAGTGTCCCTGCAATTGGTGGTTTCGATAGGTGGTTTGGGGCAAAGGAACTCCTGGGTCTCGTAAAGGGTATATGGGAAGCCTATCCGCCAAACCATCAATCCAAGCCACCAAAAGGGAAACTGGACGCACGAGGTTCTGATCTACGTCTTTGCTGTGATCCTGAGGCACGGCTGTTTGCGGCGGTTTGGGTGTTTGAACTCCCGAAGGCATTGCAGAGCGAGGGTTGGCCTGGATCTTGCACTACATGCGAAGACACGATATTCAGAACTTGCGTGATCCGTTCCCCCTCATAGTAAACGCGGAACCCCTGATTAATAAATACTCTCTGGCGGGACAAAGCATATTTATTCATAGAGTCCTTTGGTCGACGGGATTTCCTCTTCGGTCCTTGTCCAAATGGGCTTCCCGGACAGCAAGTTTCCGAGTAATTTAAATAGTTTTGTTTTTTGCGGTCCAAAAGTAAAGGGCGCAGCTTAAACTCAGAAGTACAATTTAAGAAATAAATGCAAATTAGTAAAAGGTATGCATGTGGAATTTGGTATTGGGTTGGTGCAAGGAACCCCCTAATAAGGCTGGGGCTGATCTGGGCGGAGACATCGGACAGCTTAGTATTGGCTTTGAATTGGGCTATTCCAAAAGTAGTATTGGGAACTCGGCTGTTTCAGCCAGTCTGGAAAGTAGTATTTATTAATAGGGTCCATTAATTATACAGGGGACCGGATTAGAGTATTAATTTGAGTGGACATGCTCCAAAACATGCACAGGCGCTCGTATTTCCTCTTTCTTGTTGTGGATTTTAGAATCAAAACCTTGCTCTGCTGCAGGAAACAGTAGTTCGCGGTAGTTTTCGGCACTATTGGGATACTAATTCGGTGCGAATTGTGTCTTAGTTTGAATAGACATGCTCCAAAACCTGTATTGGCGCTCGCAATTCTGCTTCTTCCTTGTGGATGGTGCCCTTGGTGCCGGCGGCTCGTGCTATGCAAGTGTTCTATGCTTGAAGCTTTCAAGCCAGCGGCACCGGGTGCTTCTCGGAGAGACAAGCGCCGCGAACTAAACCAACTCATATGAGAATGTTATTCCTCGTGGAGGGTTGCCTGCTCCTTTTGGCATGGCGCAGTTTCTGAGAGAATTCAAAAGGCTCAATAAACCCAAGCACCCTGAGTTTTGGCACTCGGCCGTGCCCTTCTTGGAGAGACAAACTCTGCGAAGGAGAAAGCTCTTCTCCTGCGTCGCAATTTTCGGGAGATTGCAAGTCTCAAGCTGCAAAAGGCTCAGGATGCCCACAATCAGTCCTGAGGCTGAATCACTCTTTTACCGCCTTTCATCACTCCCTTGCGCATAGATTCAACTTGATTCAACTAAATGAGAGCACAAACGTCGGAGATGTTTGTGGAACCAGCGTCTGCGAAGCCACTCAGCGGAGCCACAGTCTTGCTGCGAAGCCAGTTTTTTCCACAAATTTTGGCCCCAAGAAGCCCCGGACGTAGTTCTAACCTTCACTCCTAGGTCCCCCAGTAGTGCCCTTTGACCCTTTTTTTGAGGCCACAGAAAAAAAGTTGGTACCAACCTCTTCTTTCTTCTCAAATCTGGAGGACCCAGTCTAACTTCTCTCAAATCTGGAGGACCCAGTCAATGCTCAACCGGGGGTACGGGGTACGGTGTGCTCAGCCGGGGGTACGGTGACTCTGGCAGGCAGCTGACACAAGGGACAGACTTTGGCTCCGCCTTCTTCGTCTCTGTTCCCATGGCGCATCTCGGGCCGCAAGCCGAGATCGAGAGCCGTCTGGCCGGCCGTGGTGTTTCCTTCTGTTCAATCAGCTGAGTAGGTTGTGACCCTCGCGACCCCCCTAACCCAGTTATAACCATAGTTGCAACCTACTGAAAAGAACCAGCTTAGTAGGTTATAACCCCGACTACCCCCTACCCCAGTTAAAACCATAGTTGCCACCTACTTGCCTGAGGTTGGTTCGTTTGAGATGTTTGAAATGTCTGTATCCATGCTGCGTTGAGGTGGAGGCCTCTTGCTTCGGCTTGTGTTCCACCCGTGGCTCTAATGAGCAAGATCATTTTAGCTTCCCACTAATTGGTGGTTTGGCTTGGTGATTTGGTGGCTATTCCCACTAAGCGTCTGCAAGAAGCGGGGTTCAAATCCAAATCCAAACCACCAATCCAAACGACCTTTTAGTGAGAAGCCGAGTATTTCTGCTTTCTAGGAGGTCCCTTCCTGTTTTTTGTTTTGCTGGCACCTGGGATTTCCAATTGCATGAAGCCGGGGAGGCCATTCTGGTGACTGGGGTGGAAGTTCTCCATGTTGTGTCCATTTATTAGCTTTTAGCGCCTGAAGCTCTCCTGGGCTATTTCAGAAGCTTCCCCTTCAAGCTAAAAGGGATCACAGCAATGACCTCCATTTGTTTTGAGTGCCAACCTTGGCACTTGACATGCAGCACATTGCCCAGCGAAAGCGGAGAGATGCGTCTTTTGGACGCATCTCTGAATTCTGAAAGTGATCAGGGAGCCTGTGCAATATGTTGGCATGCTAAGCCTTCATGCTTGCATTTCCACGACACGCTTGGTGCTGGTTGATCTCAGTGGCATGGCCGGATGGAAAAACAACGGTAGAGGATGCTTAAACGTAACCACTGCTCCAGCAGTTGCATGGCCCTTAGAACTTCTTTCAAGTTGCCCGGCCAGGTGTGCCCGAGCCGGTTCCTCCTTGCCTGGTTGTTTTTGCCGGAAGGATTCGTCCATGGCCCTGCCATGACAGCTGAGCAGGGTTCCGTTTTTGGACCACCCCAAGATAGACTGCAACCCAGGGGTTGCCCTTTTGGGGTTTGGAAAATTCACCACCCCTGGGTGTAACTCCACTTTTTCTTTTGGTCGTCAAGAAGCGGAGCAAATATCCGAAGCCGAGGATGGACACGCTGCTCATGGACGGCATCCTGGCAGATTACGCGCCCTTGCTGGACGCAGTGCCGCAAGGGCAGATCGTCGAGCGCCTTGGGCCTTGGGCTTCATGAGGGCGCTGGACATTTTCGCGGCCCAAAGGCTCCGATCGGCCGGCGTTCAATGAAAGACCCGACCACCCCGGGAATTGGTGGTTGGGACCCGGTCTCAAAACCAGGTGGTTTGAAGGCCCTAAATCAATCGAATTGGAGCCTCTGGGTGCTGGAGCCCGTTGAGCCACTTGCTCAAAACCCGGGTAGATGTAAGGGGCAGTCCCAGCCAGAAATAGTTGCGGATATCCGCCTTCTTTTTTTGTGCTTTTTTTTACATGGTTCTGGGTAGACCATTTTAAGACTGGGTTTTGATTGTGACTCATGGGGGCCCAAACTGGAATGAGGGCACTAGTGAGCTGGAGCAGTCCTAGCAAGATCTGGATGCGGTTGGCAAAACCGTTTTGGGATCTCATTTTGGGGATTGGGTGCACCACCCACATGTTCGAACCTATTTTTGTGGGGATTGGGATGTTCACTGAGAATACCATTTGGATTGGATAGAAATTTGGAGAAAAAAACAGCTGCTGTACTCAACAACAGGCGGTCGAGGCGGCTTTTTCCCCTGTGATTTCACACCCGGACTCCGCCCTGTGTACGTTCCGGAGAGCGCACGGTTTCGCCAAGTCGATGCCTCGAGGTCCACCGGTGACGGCTCCGAACGGCCAAAGCTGAATTTTGTTGACCTGTGAATCAACCAACCAGTTGATCAATGGGGGTGGGGGCCCCTCCAACAGTGGTCTGATTCCCCACTAAACTCAGGGAAGCCCCTCTAGTAATAAACTGGGGTTGATGAATATGGGGTCAACTTGTGAAAATTGATAGAATTATGGAGGCCCACATTAGTCAGAGAGCTCCCTCTATGGGTTTGCCAGCGTGACCGCATCAACAACAGAGCTTCTGGGGGTTCCTTTGCCTGTCACAGAGATTTTGAACACAATTGTTGCCGAATGCGACTGGAGGACATGTGTTTGGCCTGCCCTTTGCATGGACTCAGCAGGTCATATTAGCAGTTGTTTGTTTTAATGTTTTAATCGAGGCTCGTCGACAGTGCGAGGAGTTCGAAAATATCAACATAGAGTAAGGAAAGCATCATGACATCAGCATTCATCCGAACGATTGTTCAAGATCGAAGCATTGCTTTTCACACTTGCATAATCAAGTATGACAACTGCCAAACAAAACCAGCAACCATCTCAAAGATGCGGTCGACTTCTCTTACACTTGAGACTCCATGGTTTGCCTTTTCCATCGTTTGTGGGATGAAAAAGCAGCCCTCCTGGTAGAAACCCTTTTCAAGGGAGGCTGTTCATTTCAGTGGGGTTCGGCAAACCCTGCATGAGACAACAGTTTTTCAGAGGGTCCCTTGGTACCTTTGTAAGGTACTTTACCTCCCAAAAGCCGTCCTCAGGAGGTACTTGGACTCTCTGCGGTTCTTTTCCGCGTCTCAGGTGGGGCTTGCTGCTCTTCTTCGTGTTGCTGGCGGCCATCACCATCATGCCGCCTGACGGTCGGAAAACTGGTCATAGGACTGGGTGTTCGATGTGGCTGTGCTGGTCAAACCCGTTTTGGGATCCCGTGTTGGGGTAGGTGAAGTCACCACCCATTTTGGGACCTGTTTTAGTGGTTGGATTGGGATTCGGAGGTTCACGTACGGGCTTTTGACAACCATGGCTTGGGCCTGAAGAAACGGAGGTTCTATTTGAGGGTACCCTGATGGGTTTAAGAGGAACGCCAGGGTTGATAGGAACGCCAGAGGTACCCTAGTTTCACCCATGGGTGGATAGGAACGCCAGAGCGAAGCCGGACCCCATTTGGAGACAAGCAATGGAGTCGTTTTTTTTGAAGCCAGACTTGATGCTTGTCAAAAAGCCAGCTTTTTCCAAGGCGCCGGCAGTCTCAACGAAATATACAAGGTACATGCTGGTGGGCGTGCTTGTGGAGGTGGTTGGCGCACTGGCGCATGCTGAGCTTCTTGGAAGAAAGGGAAGCAAGCCCGCCATTTATTGGTGGCTCCCAGCCATTCCCCAGCTTTTTAGGGTTCAGTGGGGATTTCCATAGAGGACAGCCCAGATTTGGGTTCCAATTTTAGGAATCTCTATCGCCTTCTTGTCCAACGGTCAGGGCAGGGGCAGCTCCCTTTGGGGCAATGGGTTTGAGGCCAAGCGATCGACACGAGCTGTAAGTGGGATTTGTGGGCTTCATCCCCTGATGGGTGGCCAACTGGATATTGGTCAACTAGGGTTCCATTTGGGGTACCTATTTTTGACCCACAGCCAACCGTGGCATGAAAGATCGTTATGGCATGTTATGGGTTGAATCCAGTACAGATGCTTGATTTGTTGCGAGACTCCTTATATGGCGTTTGTGTGTGTGTGTGTGTGTGTGTGTGTGTGTGTGTGTGTGTGTGTGTGTGTGTGTGTGTTTGCCTCGTCCAGCTGAGGAAGGAGAGCCTCACGGCACCTGGGACGCATTTCCGTGATGGGGAGTGGGCATCGCCGCAGACATGGACGGAAAATAGATCCATGCCACGGATGTTGTTTGGCAGTGGACTGGAACCAAATGCGGAGAAATGCATTGGCTATTCAACAGGGCTCCTTAAAAGATACATTTTGCAACCATTTGAAACATGTTGCTTTTTCAACACCAAAATAAAGGGAAACCAAAATTTACAAGTTGCAATGTTCAGGTGTATAATGCAAGGATCCCTGTTCAACTTCAACTTGTACTGAGGACTGGCAGCTTGTCTTTGCATTGGCGTATCATGGCTCTCATGGTTCGATGTTTGTTGCAGAACCCAAGGGTTGTGTTTGTGGCAACGAGCTTTTGGGATGTGCGGCTTGAACATGGGAGCCATGGGGCTTGACCCATCCGGATTGGCGGAGGGAAACCAACAGACAAGCGTCCATGGAAATTAGGTGCGAACGATCTTAGAAGCACCAACATATTGGATCCGCTCCCCAATTCCAGCCACACCCAAGTCCACTCAACTCCAGCCAAATCCAGTCAACCCAATGCTTTTGGCCCATCCCCCACACCCATTCTATCGAACTGCACCCAATTGTACCCAATTCCAACCCACCCCAACCAACCCACAGAGTGCTTCCAATCTACAAATTCCACCCCAATCCGCCCAATCTGTTCAATTCACCCAACCCACTCCTTTCAATTAATCCACCCAATCAGTTGTTTTCCGGACCATTCAAAGACAAGTAAGCCAATCAAAACCCGGGTAGATGAAGGTTAGTAAGGGGCAGTCCCTGCCAGAAATAGTTTCGGCCGCCTTCTTAATTCTTTACATGGTTCTGAATAAACCGTTTTAACTTTCCCAGAATTAGCTCCCCCTTTTTTTCCCCCCCCCCCCGCTCTTTTGGGGTCCCTCTGTTTTTCACTATCCAGGCAACAAAAAACACGATGATATTTTTGCTGGGGTCAAACAACTTGGAAAAAGACTATGGCAGATGCCCTCCATACCAGTAAACCATACTCAATCGCAAACCCATGCCCAACTGCGGTCAATTGCAGAATCGGTTTCCTTCTTCCGTTGCTTACAATATTCAATGTACTGTGGATGGACGAAATCCTGCACCCAAGAAACCTGGAATGATGCTTCCCCTGCAAAAACCAACTAACAAACGTTAATGTTGACCCCATTTTAGTCAGCCCCAGTTTATTGATACGGGGGTGTCCCTGGGCAATCATCCCCTTTGAAGGGGAACACCCCGCTAGTAATGAACTGCAGTTTCATAGGGAGGTCGACGCTATGGTTTGGACCTTGGAATACTGATACGCTGGAAACCCTGAGAAACCCTGCAATAATGATTCCTTCTCCTGTAAAAAACCCACCAACATTTTGGTTTCAACCATAGTTTCCTTTCCTGGGCTGCCTCAAATCCCCCGCTAATTCAGCCTAGTTTATACCGGGTTTGATTGTGACTCAGGTGGCCCCCCCCGCTTTCCCTCGAGGCGTCCCTTCGGTTTTTGTCGCCCAGGTGGGCTGGGTTGCCTCCTCTTTGCGCAAGAAGATGGAGAGCTTCGGCCACGACACCGCGCCTCGGATTTTTTTGCTACCCAGACGCTCCCGATTTATGGATAGATGATTGAATTTGTACACCGTCTATTTTGCTAAATACAGGGCTTCTCGAAGGATACACTGGCCACACCAAAATACACCTTAACGATAATTTTCAGGTTCTGCATGCATCACATGACTTTTCCCTCAAACCGCCAGGTTTTGAGACCCCAACACCTCTCTGGGGTGTCCAATGGAGGGTCTGGGTCTTCCAGTGGAAGCCAAAGCCAGGCGTCTGGGTAAGGCCCCGTTTGCCCGATCAGCCGGGCGCATGGCGGAACATGTCCCAAGGAGACCTCCCGGACGCATCGCGGAACATGTCCCAAGGAGACCTCCCGCCCACATGTCCCACGGAGAAAAGGCCCCACCTCCCCATCTCCCCCCTTCCCCCCGCGTTTTGGTGAGACGCGAGGAGCGCTGGATGTCCTGAAGCCCGATTTTGGTGAGCCGCGAGGGGTCAGGCAGTTTCAGGTTTTCCGTTCGGTTTGCTTGTGAGCAACCCCGAGCAGCATCGCCAGCATTTTCAACAGCGCGTATGGACAACGCACCACTTGCGGTCATCAACCTCAAACGCCACTGGCAAAAAGCGGACCTCAACAACAGAAACATCGATGAGGGATTTCACGCTGCACGCATTGAAGCGCTAAGTGGTACGCTTCGTTCTCAGCGATTCTACAATCATCACTTTAGACCGCCAATTTTTCACTGGCCGGGATGATTTCCGCTTTTTCAGGGTCAACGTGCGTTGCTTGACATTGTGACAGAGGATGTGGCTGCTAGCTCAGGAGTCTCCGTTGAGCAAGTCCGAACTGCAAGATGTTCTCCTGGATCCAGACATCACCGACGTGCCTTGGCGCATCGCACAAAAAGTTGGCAAGGGAGGCCCAGGACTGGGCTGCAAGGGGAGCGAGCGGGCTGGAAGGTGTTCTGAAGTTGGTTTTTAGGGACGGTGTCCATTTCAACCACGATTGAATGGGTCATACTATGGATGGACGAAATTCTGCACCACCTAAGAAACCCTGGAATGATAATTCCCCTTTACATACCAACAAGCAATGGTTTCCCATGCTTTTCAGGTGGTGCGAAATGGATTTTGTCCATCCACAGTATTTTGAGGCTGTCACTTCAATGGGCCCAGTAGAACGTAACTTGGAGAGTTGAAGTTGGAGGTATCCACGAGGAGAGGGAGTTGTTGCGGACGAACGGAACAAGAGGTTCCCTGCCTCCAATCTCCGGGTGCTTTCTCTTTCAAGGAATTGGGAAATCTGCTGTACGGCGAGACACGGGGCCCCGTTGTCTCCAATGGCGGTGGAAAGCACGAACTAGCTCAGTTGGGTTGTCCATCCTGCATTCATGTGCTTCTTGTAAGTTCGAGGCTGCGCATCTGACCTCAAGCCGTGCTTGGTGGACAGCAAAGTGTCAGGCAAGTGTTCGATGCTTGAGCGGTTTATCGATATCAAGCGACTCGGAGCTCGGAGCTCGACCTAGGTCCTGCAGTCTGTGCAGGTCGATGTGCTGCTCAGGTCGCACCAAGTCGAATCGAAGCACGGCAACTTCCACGTGGACACAGCCAGCTGGAACAGTGTGCTAAACGAAGAAGTGAGTCACATGAGGGGCTGAAACGTGGAACGAGTCTACTGGTAGGATCACTTCACTTGGCTAAGTAACATGAGGGCTCGTTTCCGAACGATAAGCTAAGAAACAATGGCAAACACTTCAGCTTGCCTCGGTTCAAGGTTGGTGAAGCACATCCCCCAAATGGTGATTATCCTTCGGGCCTGGGGTTTTTTGGGTGTTTGTACATGGTCAGGGCTCCTTAAAAGATACATTTTGCAACCATTTGAAACATGGCTTTTTCCACCAAATTAAAGGGACACCACCATTTACAAGGCAATGTCCAGGTGTAGAATGTAAGGATCCCTGATGGTCAAGGCTTCTTTTCAAATCACCAGGCGGCGTGTTCCCTTGGTTTCTTTTAAGCTGGCGCGCTCAACATTTGACTAGCCGTTGGTTGGAAACCTGAGGATCTAGGGGACATCCAAATTTGCTCTTGGTTTCTGTAAAGCCAAGGCGAAAGACTGGCGCCCTCAAAATTTGACTCGCCGTTTGGAAAGCTCAGGGGAAATTAGATCCGAACATTTGCTTCAAGACACGGAGCCTTTCGGAGCCGATCGGAGGTCTGGAGGTCTGGTTGGGGACGTCGCAAAAAGCGCCTTCACCTTGGTGCGATAGGGAATGACCCAGTCCGGGTCTTGGAATGAACCTGGTTTTGATACAGGATTCTCGAAAGGAAACTATATTATGTCTTGGACACATAACCGGTTTTGGCCGGATTCCCGCGGAAAAGGACACCCACTCGGATGGCTTGGGGTGCTTCGAATTCCACGTCTCCTTCCCCGCGCGCCCAGGGTGGCCCTGATGGAGCTGGTGAACATCGCCTATGAGGACTCCGAGAAGACGGGGAACCCCATGACCTTCGAGAAGCCGCTCGGGGCGAAGAGGAAGGAGGGAAGGACCCGGAATCCCCGAAAGGTGAAGACCCCATGGATTTCAAGGCCGAAAAAGGGAAGGACCTCCCAAAAGGTCAGGAGAAAACCCCAGGGGCCTTAAGCAAATGGAAGTCGGCCGAAAAAGGGAAAGACCTGCAAACCCGCGGGGTTCAACCGGAAACCACCGCTAAAAGGTGGGCGGTGACGAGAAGTTCCATGGGTTTCCTTGGGGAAACAAGAAAACCCAGGGGTTTCAAGAAAAAGAGCGGATAACATGGTGGCGGTTTCAATGGAAAGCACCAGTAAAATGAGGCAGTTTCAAGGGGACAACGCCAGTTCCAGGGGTTGATTCCTTGTCCATTCTTTTCCATCATCGTTCTTTTCGGAGAAAAAAAAAGCGGTTCCCCTGGGTTATTGATGGTTTCATGGAAAGAAGGATCCCTAGAAACCACGAACCGAAGGCATGTGTGGGAGCTGGAAGATCATTTTTTTTGGAGGGAACCTCTGTCAGGTGCCATGATGATGGACGTCATGATTCCAAGGTCAGTCATGCTGCGGCAACAGGCAACCTCGAGCATGCATCGATTTTCTGAGACCACACTGTCATTGTGAATATGTTTTACTGGCAACCGTGGCTTCAAAAAGCTGCGGTGCTCTTGCCAATGAGAGGGAAAGCAATGGCCTTGTTCGGTCTCTTGAAGCTGCGCTTAGTCAATCTGCACTCACACCGTTCAGAAACCCTGGTTTCTGACTCGTTCAGACACCCTAGTTTCTGACTCGCTTCCCCCAAAAATACAAATTAACGTTATGCTGTCAACCATGATGTACCCAAGAAACCCTGGCTTCTGATGATTCCCCTAGAAATACCTATATAGGTCTTATGGTTTCATTTTCATAGCGCATCTTTTTGTGGTGCATGCGCCGCTGTGTCCACCCCGTCAGAGTCATGCATGCGGTCATACAGCTGCCTGAGGATTGTGAGCCTCGTACCGGCCTTACAGGAGCAGAGCATCCCTTCCTTGCTGCGAGAGATGCAGGGAATGAGAAATGGCTCGTGACCCCGAGAAAACATCCCTCCAACTGGTGGTTTCCTTTATTCGGGGACCCCCCAAAATTCATTCCATTTCTCATTCCCTTCGGGCCCCCCCAAATTCATTCCATGTCTAATTCCCTACCGATTTCGCACCGACCGCAAGTTTCACATGCGTGAGGATTTAAACTACTAGATGCCCCTAGCCAATTTGTTTTACGTGGTGCCGCCGTTGCGTCTGATTTTTACACGCATGGCCCTCCTTGGTAGGCAGATTCATCATGCTGTACCTCATTCAAGAAAACATACCAGCCTTGGTTCCAATCAAAAGGTTCCAGCTTGCACAAAGGACATAGCATGTGTATCATTCTAGAACTGCATCACATGAGCAACTGACAAAACTATTACTTGATTGCTATTGGGTTGGATCTTTAGACTTGCACTTTTGTTGAACTTTTGGGGGAAATCAATGGGGTTTCCGCACTAAACTCCCAAAAAGTTAATCATTTTTTGCAGCGGGGTCAACAGCAACCAAGTATTAGTACGTGCTTGTCAGTTCGGCGACACGCGAGGCCCACCCAAATGATCCACAAAAGCCGGGGGCCACGCATCAGTTAAATCGCCTTAGCCATATGGGTATGTGTCCAAACTGGGCTTGAACTATAACGCCGCCAGAAGAGGATTCCCATCTGTGATAGCCAGCCCAATGAAGTGGGGTCGTAGGCGTTCAATGAAGCTTTCAGGCGCCTTGCACTGAGCAGTTGTGGCTATGCGTCAAAATAGGGGGACGCCAACAATTGCGGTTTTCCTTTTGATTTTTCTTTATGCCCTTGAACAGAGTACCCTCAAGACCACATCCGTATTGCTTCCAGTGTTCTAAACCAAGCCGTTTTGCCCCCTTGGCATCTCAAAGCAGCGACATGGAAAACAACATGTGGATTTGCTCCACGCAAGAGTTGCTGCCTCCAGAGAAAAGCGAGGTTTGGCAACAACCCTGAGTGCTTGGAGTCGTGTGCAACATGTCTGCGAACAAGCACGATGCCTCACGAATTCGCCAGTTTCCTCAATTCTGCTAGAAGCACAAGGCCTCATGAGCCAGTCTTCTCAACCGCATCTGTGTCGGGTTTTTTTGCTTGCAGATGTTCTTTTCGGGAGATTTCGCCGGTTTGTGTCGGCAGATGTGCTGATTGATCTGCTGGCAGAGGCTCTTTTCGGGGCAAACAAACCGGCGCCTTGGATCGGGCTCAGGTTCTTAATGGCCGGGGGCAGAATACCGCCTGCGTGAAAGACACCTCCGAGCTTCTGAGGCGCGCATCGCCTGGAATCCATTCGATGCATCTCATACCAGGGCTCCGTTTGTGGGCAAAATCAAGGTAGACTGAAACTCACTTCCTGAGTTCATGAACTTTAAACTTTTTGGGGTTGGACCATTTTAGTGGTAAATATTTACACGCTACGCGACACAGCCGGCCACCGGGCGCCTTGCCCTCCCGTTCGTTCATTTACTGTTCCTTTACTTCCAGATAGTTCCGGGATTTGAACTTCGCTTTCTTTGCCTGTCCGATAGTTTCCTGACATGTCCCTTCACTTCCTTCATTTCCTCGCGTCCCATTTCACGTCAGTTTCCTGCACATCCCTTCATTTCTCATGAGTTGCTCTTCGTTTCCCACAATTTCCAACAATTTCTTTTGTTTCCCTTTCCTCCGGCTCCCCTTCACATTCTGCCCTTGCATTTTCCTGCATCTTTGTTTCTCTCCAGTGCCCTCGTCATTTTCGTGCAATTCTCCAGCTCCCTTCACATTCTCCCCTTGGATTTTCCTGCATCTTGGTTTCTCTCCAGTGCCCTCTTCATTTTCGTGCAAGTCCTTTGGCTTTCGTTCACTTCCAGTCACTCCTGTTTCCCTGCATTTCCCCTTCGTTTTCTGCAATTTTCAGCCCCTTGTTTTACATCGCCAGCACGCATAGCATCATCCGCATCATCCGGGATGATGCTGGCAGTGCTGGGGGTGTTGTCCAGTAATAGGCACCCCCTAAAAATACTCGTTTTTGGACTCGTTTTTGGAGATTCTAAGATTGATTGTTAGATTTTAATTTAAGATTTTAAGAATCTAAGACTTTGGGATTTTGAGATTTCAATCCAGGCCATTTTCCATCAATTTCCATCCACTTTAGATTTTAAGATTTTCAGGTTGCACGTTTTCAGCAAAATTGGCCCGACTTAGGGGACAACATCCCCAGCATCACCCGCATCGCCAGCATGCATAACATCATCCGCATCATCCGGGATGATGCTGGCAATGCTGGGGGTGTTGTCCAGTATTAGGCACCCCCTAAAAATGCTCGTTTTTAGGCGCTGCGGGGAGATGCTACAAAAATCGCCTAAACCAATCCGCGAATCCTTCGCCCCTTATAAGGAAGGCCCAGCCCAAAACGTACCCGCAACGTACCCGCATGGTCGGCGGCATGGGGCGCGCGGCCTTATACCTGAAGGTAAGCCCTACCGGGCTTTGGCCTGCGGCCCGATCACGTCCGGTGGCCGGATTTACACGCTGACGCGACACAGCCGGCCACCGGGCACCCCTTCCCGTTCTTTGATTTCCTTTCCCTCCAAGTCCTGCTAGTTTTCGGGATGATTGGAATGAACTTTTCCTTTGCATGTCTGCCCTGACAGTTTCCTGGCATGTCCCTTCACTTCCACTTCACTGCCGTTTCAGCTCCCTTCATTTCCTTGAAGACTCCTTTATTCGCATTCTGTCCGGTCCCCTTCACGTTCTGCCCTTGCATTTTCCTGCATCTCGGTTTCTCTCCAGTGCCCTCCCCATTTTTCGTGCCATTCCTTTGACTTTCATTTTGTTCACTTCCAGTCACTCCTGCTTCCTTGCATTTCCCCTCAACCCCTTGTTTCGCATCGCCAGCATGCATAGCATCATCTGCATCATCCGGAATGATGCTGGCAATGCTGGGGGTGTTGTCCAGTATTAGGCACCCCCCAAGAAGCGCTCGTTTTGTGACTCTGCGGGGAGATGCTACAAAACTCCTCAAAAATCGCTTAAACAAATCCGCAAATCCTTCGCCCCTTATAAGGGAGGGCCCAGCATAAAACGTATGCGCATGTTCTGGTCATGGTCCGCGCATGGTCGGCGGCATGGGGCGCGCGGCCTTATACCTGAAGGTAAGCCCTAACGGGCTTTGGCCTGCGGCCCGATCACGTCCGGTGGCCGGATTTAAGGGCTGCCGCCCAGTGCCGCCGACCCCTCCACTGGGAGCCAGCCCAGTTTTTTTTTCTGCCTCCGCGTGGTACATTCCTGGGAGCCATTCCAGCGGAGATGCTGCGCAGACGTGGGCAGAAAACCAAGCTGCCGCACGCCGCGTACGGGCAGAGGCTTGTGTGGGGGGGACCGACGGAAGGCGTTCAGGGAGTTACAGAATTGGTGCGCTTCGAGCGCACGCAAGATGCGTTGCTAAAGGAAGTCCAGGATCAGTTTCGTCACGCCTCACTGCGGTCACACATGCGTTCTTGCATGGCAAAGCGACGGCAGTGCCAGGCAGTTGGCACAATGGCCACGCGAGCTGTGGAAGTCGGACGTGTGAAGCTCTAGCAACAGACCAGGTGGCGCCGGAGCGCATCCTGGAAGAGGAGTGCAAGGTGTGCAAATCAGAGAGGCGCTCCAAAGCGCTCGTAGCAGCCACGCCGCAGGATCCGCGATTACAGAACGAACTGAAAAGATGCCACGTGCATTTTTGCGACGAACGCTGTCAAGTATCATGTTAACCGGACGCGCGCGCGAGAGTTTGCGGCCAAAGCTCGGCAGCAGATATATTATTCAATTGCTGAAGATCTAGCGTCGGCAGCAGTGCTCGCAGAGAAGCCACACTTGGAGGAAGACAAAGTGAAGTGGCTGCAGCGTCATGACCGCGAAAGCGGCAACTTGTACGGGCTGCCGCTATGCATTGGCATGCCGGTATCAGCGACTGACCACTTGGACAGCGAACGACGCGTGCTTCGCGGCTGCGCGGGGACTGTGCGTGGCTGGACGCACACGGGCGACAAAAGCGAGGTGACGCGTGCGGACGGGCATGTGCGTTATTGGGCGGAAATGCCAGCGGCCGTGTACGTGAAGTTCCGCACGAGCAAGACATGGCGCGTCGATGGCATACAAGAAGACTGCGTCCTGCCCGTTGCGCCAGTTCGAAGTGCGTGGTTCCTCGATGGGAAACGCAAGAAACCACAGCTTCGCGTGTCTCGCCGACAGCTGCCCCTGAGCCCGGCGTTCGCGTTGACAGCGCACGGGGCGCAAGGGATAACAGCAGTCAACGGCGCAGTCGTGGACATAGCCATGAAGAAGGGAGACAACCCGTTGACATCGTACGTGGCCATGACGCGGGTTGAAGGGAGACAGAAGCTGGGGATATTTCGCCCGTTCGACTTGGAGCCGTTTCAACGCGGAGACGATTTCAGCCGTAACCTGCTTTTGCGAGTTTGGAGGGGGGAGGTCATCGATTGGGAAGCCATTCGAAAAAAGTACCTCATCGAGAAAGAGTGCGTCGAATGCCTGCAGCGGAAGGGTCGTTGCGCGTACACTGCGGGGCGATGGAAACGAGAGGACGCCAGCGGAGTGTGTAAAGAATGCACCGGGCGGCACGAAAGCGCAGGCCACCCGTGGCAATGCTGCGTTTGCTACTACTGGCAGCCTCGGGCAGGGTTCCTCGAGAAGTGGCATAGAACGCGAAGCGAGCTGCAACGAGTCTGCTGCAATTGCATCGAAACCCATGCGTGCGCGCGTTGCGGAGAGTCGAAAACAGAGAGCGATTTCAGCAAGGCGGCGTGGCAAACACGGCGCAAGGCGCGCCAAGTGTGCAAGGACTGCAGCGCAAACGAACGAGGCCATTGGACATGCGTGCAGTGCAAGGAGAGATGCGCAGTTGCCGCGTTCTCGCGGTACAAGAGGGCGCGGAACGGGAAGCAACAGTGCAATGCCTGCCTCCGAGCACGTGACACAAAAGCGATCGCCAAGAAGAGCGCCGCGCGATTAGCGCGCAGACGCGCAGCCCAGAAGCGCCGGGCGCTGGCCGAGATCCGCGCATGCATCGCAGACATTATTCGCGCGCGGGAAAGGCGCAGCGCAGCGGTGCAAGCGTCGGAGCCACGCGACCGAGGAAAGGAGGCCGAAAAGAAGGCAGAGCGCTCGCAGCGAACGTACACTTGCCCGCACTGCAGCGCCGACGTGGAGTCAGGCGTCTGGAGCGGCACGGTTGACTCGCGACGGCATTGCGGGCGCCGCTTGCAAGTTCGCGAGGGACAGGTTGTGCGCCGAGAAGATGGCGCGAGGTACGAGCATGCGTGTCCGACCTGCGGAGCGACAGTGCAGTCGAGCACGAGGCAAGGCCGGATCCGGGTCCAGCACTAAACAGCAAACGCTTTTGCCAGACCAAGGACTGGCGCACGAAATGACGTGTGCGGAAATCTGGCAGCGCAGCGCAAAAATCTTGCGCATCGGTCCTGCATGCCTGCTCGCAAGAACAGCTTCGCGTACAGCGCGCTAAGAGGCCGCGCTCGTTTTGCCACAGCGAGCACCAGGCAAAGGAGTGCGCCGGCAGCAGAAAGGAAACGGAAAGAAAGATGGGAAGGGATCGTACATGCAGTAAAGCTATGTGTCCAGAGAGAGCGGCCAGCTACAAAAGCTTCGCTTCCCGCGCTGTTCCAGGCCGCACTCGTTTGTCCACAGCGAGCACCAACCAAAGGAGTGCGCCGGCAGCAGAAAGGAAGAAAAGAGGCCGAACGGGCGGCCCGCACTCGTTTGCCCACAGCGAGCACCAACCAAAGGAGTGCGCCGGCAGCAGAAAGGAAGAAAAAAGGCCGGACGGGCGGGCCCGCACTCGTTTGCCCACAGCGAGCACCAACCAAAGGAGTGCGCCGGCAGCAGAAAGGAAGAAAAAAGGCCGGACGGGCGGGCCGTGACAGAGCTTCAGCGCTGAAAACTGTGCCCTGCAGGTGCTTGAGCGCTTTTCCAGGCCGCGCGCGTTTGCCCACAGCGAGCACCAACCAAAGGAGTGCACCGGCAGCAGATAGGAAGAAAAAAGGCCGGACGGGCGGGCCCGCACTCGTTTGCCCACAGCGAGCACCAAGTGCGCCGGCAGCAGAAAGGAAGAAAAAAGGCCGGACGGGCGGGCCGTGACAGAGCTTCAGCGCTGAAAACTGTGCCCTGCAGGTGCTTGAGCGCTTTTCCAGGCCGCACGCGTTTGCCCACAGCGAGCACCAACCAAAGGAGTGCACCGGCAGCAGATAGGAAGAAAACACGGCGAACGGGCCGTGACAGAGCTTCAGCGCTGAAAGCTGTGCCCAGCACGTAGATGAGCACTCTCGGCCTCCTCAGCTCAGGGGCAGTTGGTGTAGTGGCATCAAACCCGCTCAGCATGCGAGAGGGGCCGGGTTCAATCCCCGGCCTGTCCATGCCCATGTGCGCCTGCGTCTGTCACAGTTTGCCTATCCCTGGTCTTGCCGGCAGCCTGCTCCGTCGCGGCCGGGTGCCTAACGTCGCGTTCCAGCCACAAAACCCGCGCTTTTCCAGGCCGCGCTCGTTTGCCCACAGCGAGCACCAACCAAAGGAGTGCGCCGGCAGCCGAAAGGAAAAGGAAAGAAAAGAAACCTCTCGGCCTCCTCAGCCCAGGCGCAGTTGGTGTAGTGGCATCACACCCGCTCAGCATGCGAGAGGGACTGGGTTCAATCCCCGGCCTGTCCATGCCCATGTCTGCGTCTGTCACAGTTTGCCTATCCCTGGTCTTGCCGGCAGCCTGCTCCGCGGCGGCCGGGTGCCTAACGTCGCGTTCCAGCCACAAAAGCTTCGCTTCCCGCGCTTTTCCAGGCCGCACTCGTTTGTCCACAGCGAGCACCAACCAAAGGATTGCGCCGGCAGCCGAAAGGACAAGGAAAGAAAAGAAACCTCTCGGCCTCCTCAGCTCAGGGGCAGTTGGTGTAGTGGCATCAAACCCGCTCAGCATGCGAGCCCCGGCCTGTCCATGCCCATGTGCGCCTGCGTCTGTCACAGTTTGCCTATCCCTGGTCTTGCCGGCAGCCTGCTCCGTCGCGGCCGGGTGCCTAACGTCACTTTTGAATCCTATATAGAAAGTAGAAAGCTCTCGGTCCCCAGGGCGCAACCAGCAAGAACAGCTTCGCGTCCAGCGCGCTTGGAGGCCGCACTCGCTTCAGCGAGCACGAACCAAAGGAGTGCGCCGGCAGCCTGCTCCGCTGCGGCCGGGTGCCTAACGTCGCGTTTGAGTCCAATATGCAGTAAGGCTATCGGTCCAGAGGGAGCGGCCAGCCACAAAAGCTTCGCTTCCCGCGCTTTTCCAGGCCGCACTCGTTTGTCCACAGCGAGCACCAACCAAAGGAGTGCGCCGGCAGCCGAAAGGAAAAGGAAAGAAAAGAAACGAAGAAGAACAAGAAAAAAGGGAAAGAAAGAAGGCTGGTAAGGTACAGGGCTGAACGGGCGAGGGAGGGAGAAGGCTGCCACAGTCACGCTCCAACGCTAAACGAACACTCCTTGCAGGCAGGGCGGTCGGCGGATATAAAGTTTGAGCTTTTCTTGGGCCATCCACTCAGCCAGTGACCAGCTGGGGTGTAGGACCACTTTGGGGTCGTCAAGAAACGGAAGCCTGTCTCATAATTACTCTGGTTGAGCTCGAAATCCGCCGAGGCTCGCAGCGACATGAAACCCAAGGGTTTCTGATGAGTACCCAACGTGAATTGCAACAAGGTTTTGTGGGTTTCAACTCCGTGGTTTGCAAGTGGTGCGATTTCTGGTTGTTTGTCCATCCAGAGTAGGTGCCTTTTTCGGAGTTTCATTGAACATTGCCACTTCTCTCACTCCCTCTCTCCCTCTCTCCCTCTCTCCCTCTCTCCCTCTCTCCCTCTCTCCCTTTCTCTCTTCGGTTCGATCCAGTGCTCTATCACCGCGCAGGATCTTGAAGCAAACCATCATCCAGCGGACCAGTGCGGCGCTCGGAGCGAGGCTTTTTGCGCCTTTTGGGGCCAAGTGGGGGGTGAGAAAAGTGTGTTCCATTTCTTGACTGCTATTGGCTATTGGGTCACTAACCCCCCCAAAAAGTTAAACTTTTTGCAAGGGGGTCAACAACCAAGATGTAGCTTCGGCCCCCTGTTTTAAGCCCATGGGCAACTTTTCCCCGGTGGTTGAAACATCAAGATTGTTTCGTGGAATTTTCTAGCCAACGGTCATCCCATGGAGACCGGACCTTTTTGATCAACCCCCAAGTGCCCAAGGTGGTATCCACCCCATTGCATTTTGAGATCATTCTCACGGCAGGTTTGTGCCTTTCGAGAGATTGGGTGAAGGCAGGCCCCCATTGAAGCTTCATCCCTCTTCCCTCTTCACTAAGGCGGCAAAGGGAGTACCATTCTAGGTGTTGATTCCTTTTCCATTCTTTTCAACCACACTTCTTTTCGACAAATTTGCCATTCTCCCTGGATTTACGGAGGGTGTTGATTCCCCATTCTTTTCAACCATTCTCCCTGGGTTTACGGAGGTTTCCTAGAAATTCCCATTCTTTTCAACCATTCTCCCTGGGTTTACGGAGGTTTCCTGGAAAGAAAGATCCCTGGAGAGAATGGAAAAGGAGGCTTCCCCTAAAACCATCTACTTTCACCCTGGTGTATTTGACGGGGTATTTGGCTGTGCGGGTCAATTTTTCGCGCTGGCCCATGTTTCTCGCGGCTTTGAGTAAAGCGGCTATTGCATACAGCGCAATCCTGCAGCATAATTTTTCATCACTGAACAATTTGTTGCAGAAGGGTCTCAGAGGGGAGCAGAGAGACACAGCAGCTTTGGGATGTTGCAGTTTCCCTACCTGCTGTTGTATGACATAGTCAGGTTGTTGTGGCCGATAGAGTGTAGAGTTGAATCAAAATATGCCAATGAGTCAAAGCCAAAAATGCAGACACCAGGGTACCGCAGGTTTTAGTCTTTGTTTCCAACCCACTTTGGGGTTCCGCGCCTGTCTACGCAGACCCATAGAAACAAAAGGCGGCCTTGCGGGCCAAGGCAGCTCTCCGAAAGACCTAGGAAATGGGCGAACAATTCCCCCGAAAGCTCCCAAGACCCTCCTCCCATTTGCAAATGTTTTGGACCAACAACAAATTGGTTTTCCAGGGTAAATACCTCCTTCTTGAGTCAGGGGTTGACATGATACCCTAAAGACATGTGGGTATTTGGAGTAGGGGGTATGCACAGTGCTTGCTTTGCAAAGCAATCGGACCACTTGTTCAGGATATTTTCCCTGCAGCCCAAGGAAACTGACTTTAAAACGGCCCAAGGGGTGTTTAGATTGGCTCGGGAAAATTGGCGTTAGGGAGGTGTCTAGTCAGGTCGGTCTATTGTAGGACTGCGTTTCGCGTAGGCGTGATAAGGACATACACAACCAACAAAACACTGCCCAGTTCAAATGGGGGTTGATCAAAAGGCTCTTTTGGGATTTTGGTTGTTTGGAGGTATGGAATGGGGGTGCTCCTGCAACTGACCTCGAAAGAAAACAAAGGGCTCAGAGGTCAGGCTTTTTGGGGAATCCACAACGTTCATCCTGGATCACATGTTGCGCTGATGGCTCGCTCAGTGACTCAGTGAGGTGAGGCGACAGATAAGCTGCAAGAGGAGATCTCGACAGCCGCTTGAAGCCAAAATCATCAGCCTATGGTTCATTTGGGAGGGACATGGGGACTTACGAAATGACATAGGTGATTTTAGTGTTTTCTATGTGCGTGTGTGAGCACCACTGGCTTTTTTGGCAAGCATCTTCCAGGAATCAGCATGGGCCTTGATCTTCATGAGAAAACTATGTCTTTGGGCTGATGTTCCATTTTTCAAAAAGATGTCAAACTACATGCTTCACTTCCTGCATTTGTGTTGCATGTGCTGCAGGCCTTGAGCTCACTACATCGCATGAGTCAAAAGGTTGGCAGCTGCAGACTACATTTGTTGACTGTTTGTTTGAACACTACAGCACTTGCACTTGTAAGTAAAAGTAGCAACCGATTTTAGCGTGGTAGCGGAGCTGAGATCCTAAACATAGGGGAGCTCCAGTAAGCAGTAAGTACTACAACCACAGCAACAGCAGTCACATGCCAAACTACTACGACATGCCAGGAGAAGCAGCATCACCCTCAGCACAACAAACTACAGGAGCAGAGAACGGGCCAACAGCAAGACACAGTAGGAGCCACGACTACGGGAGCAGGAACAGAACAAGACAACGACGTTCAGAGACTACATAGATACAAACTGCCACCACCCTTCTTCACTGGTGACTACTCCCAGTATGAAGAACGGCTGTTCAAACTACAAGCATACCTCGGCCTCATAGACCGAGACTTCGACCTGGTGCTACAGCTAGCACAAGTGGCTACACGACAGGTTGAGGACACAGACATCAGAACACACATACTCGAACCTACACAAGCAAGCAAAGCAGTAGACCTCTCCAGAGATCTACACTACATCCTCATCAACATCTGTCAGGGAGCAGCAGCTACAGTAGTAAGGCAAAACCGCTACAATGCGAAACACTGCGACTCCTACCCTACACAACAGGTTCAGCCTACCAGTAGGAACAAGAAGCGTTGGCTACCTTACCAAACTACTGGAACCTACATTCAACGAAGCGCAGTTTGAAGAACAATTCCTACAATGGGAATACGACATCAACCGCTACGAGAAAGACAACGGCGCAGCGCTACCAGATGGAGTCAAAATAGCAAGACTACTCAACAAAACCAAAGGAGCACTGCAGCAACATCTCCAACTGCGAGCTGGACAGATCACGAACTACATCGAGATCAGAGCAGTCATCCTGGACTACTACAAGACGATTTCAGCCTTCTCGAGATCGACTTCAGCAGTAGGAACAAACTACAATGGAGGAGCTGCACCAATGGATGTTGACAACATATGGAGGAAAGGAAGAAACTACAAAGGCAAAGGAAAAGGAAAAGGCAACTACAAAGGAAGCAAAAGCAAAGGCAAGTACAGGAGTAAAGGACACTACAAAGGATTCGACAAAGGCAACAAAGGAAACTACAACAAAGGATGATATAAGAAGAGCAAAGGAAAAGGCTACTCAGGATCTAAAGGATATGGATCAAGCAAAGGCTACAAAGGCCAAGGAAACTACAGCAAATCAACAGGAAAAGGAAACAACAACTACACAACATGCCATCGATGTGGCAAGCCTGGCCACTGGGCACAAGACTGCAGAGTGCCAGTATGGCACATAGGAGAAGGAGAAGAACTACATCCACTGGAACAAGAACAAGCAAATCAGGACAACAATGAAGAACTACCTCAGGATGTGAACGACACCTGGGACTGGTACTACGAAGGAGAAGAAGGACAACACGAGGTGAACTACATGGAGGAGAACTGGAACGACTACGACTATGACAACAGCTGGGATTGGAATGACAACAACTATGAGGACACAGCAAACTACATTGGAGGCACCAACGAGTCACACCTCACCATAAAACACATCAGACAAGCAAAGTCACGACTACACAAGCACAAATCCAAATCACTACTTGGCAAGAAACAACACACACACAACATCATGGAACGACCGCAGCAAGAGCTTTCAACAATTCCTACAAGAAGACACCACACAGCTACACTTCGACATAGCAGCAGCAGCAACACAACAGCAAAGGAACAAGAAGATTGAGGACAGTATCACACACTACATCATGTACTCCAACTTCAAGTCATACCAGAACCTGTTGATCGAGCCAGGAGCATATACACATGTTTGTCGAAAGGACTACGCGCCAGAAATACCGCTACGAAATTGTGGAGAATCAGTTCCACAACTCTACAAGGTTACCAACAAGAAGATTGCTGTCTACGGCATTAAGTATGTTCCCTAAAAGCAGGACAACCTCAGGATCATGATACCCTACTACGTTTGTGATGTGAAGTATCCAACCCTCAGTGCATCAAGACTACTTGATAGAGGATACGGACTTGACTTCAACCCACGACACTGCAGCATCACACATGGACAACAACAAGCACACCTCATAAGGCACTCAGGACTTTTCTACCTACGAGCAGAGAAGATCGACATCCGTACAGGATTCGACATCTACCCAATGACCACAGACAATGGAAAATCCATTGCTGTGATTCAACCTACAGAGGAAGCAAAACAACAAGAACAAATTGCACCACACACACACAGACCAAGGACTGCGACAGATCCTTGGTGGAAACACTGACTACTGGAAACTTGATGGTGGCTACGCCATCAGAGTACACAAACGACTACGCAAAGCATTGTTCACACCAGGTTGCCCAATACCAGAAGGAGAACTAGATGATTGGCGACTAACCATCATCAACAGACAAGGGCAAGAGCAAGAACAACTACGAGAGAACCCAACACAACTTTCCCAGCAAGAACTACAACTACAACACAACTGGACTGGAGAAACCAGATTCAGAAGAAAGATAATACCTACACGCAGAGCAACATCAAAGACCACACCAACAAGGCAGAGCTCACAACCACAACGGCTAATGGACACACCGCCAACCAGATCAAAGATCCAACTACGAGCACCACAAAAGATATGGAGACCTAAAGCAGCACCTTCTACAAATCTTGACACCACACAACCAAAGGAGACAATCCACAGACCACTCACAGCAAAGGAGGACAACCAAGACTACTGGGAAAGACAAGGTGAACACTGGATAAGACACCACACAACCCTTAGAATTCCAACAGATGGACCAGGACATCCACCAATCAGCACACTTGAGCCTCACAGAACTACAATCACTCACAACAACTTTGGAGAAGTTTCACAACGCAAAGATGACTGGACAGTCATGGGCAACGCAGCACTACCATTTCAATGGAAAGGAACAACAAGGTTCACCGTGAAGAAAGACTACGAGTACATCCAGGAGAACCACGATAAAGAACAACAATACGAGCATCAGGAGGACTACGACAACCGCAGCAGCCCACTCCACAACAAATAGCAGAACCCTTTTTTTATACTGAGTGCGGAAGAACACAAGGCATACTACAAAGCGACAACGAAGACACACTCAACGCACTTCTAAAAGCTACAGCAGCAAAAGTCGGCTCAATGACTGTTAGGCATGCACCCTCTCCTACAGCAGTAACAGTCAAGGAAGTGTTGAGCGACTACACCGAACACTCCTCGGACAAGTACGCGTCGTCAAAGCGCAGGTTGAAAGCAACTACAGCATGACGATGTCCACAAAGCACTGTCTACTACCTTGGATAGTACGACATGCAGCATGGACGGTAAATCGCTACGTCATCCACTCAGACGGCTACACAAGCTTTGAACGCCGCTGGGGAAGAAACTACGAGCGAGCAATCTGCGAATTTGGCGAGACACTACTTTACCTTCCACCACAACACAAGAAACTTCCAAAAGCAGACCTACGGATGCAGAAATGCATCTGGCTCGGAAAAGTTTCCGAAACCGGAGAAAACTACGTCGCAACGGAATCAGGCGTACAAAAGGTACGAACAGTGCGGAGACTACAACCGGACTTCAAATACGACCTCGCACTGTTGAACAAAGTTTCCGGCGCACCATGGGCACCACGACGGAACACCTACAACCCATCGTTCGCAACACTGTTGGACACGCAACTACAACCGTCAGAGAAAAGAAGGTCCACGCAAGATTTCGGACAACAGACGAACGCGACGGACGACATCGTTGCGGAACCGGCAACAAAACAACAACGCACTACACCACCTCCACGACTTCCGTCTACATCGGCGTCAAGTTCACGACCACTACCGGATAGTCCTATGGCTACTTCACCAACCGGACGACAACATCCACCATTACCAGCACCACCTCGACAAACACTAAGACGTTTAACTCCGGAAGAAGTAATGCAACCAACCAAAGCACAGAAGACCTCAAAGGACACTACAATCAGATCAACGGAGCAGGCAACCAAAGAACCAACCACTACGACAGAAAATCAACGCAGTGACACTTCCCAACGGAACATCCAGATCCCTACACAAACGACGACACCTCAGAAGACCAACCCATAATCTTCGACAACGAAGGTTATGACGAAACACAACTACTGGAAGGAATGAAACACGAGTCAAACCAAATGAAACTACACGACGTCTACGACGAAGTAGATGCGTCTACCGTCGATGACAACATCCGAAAAGAAGCGATACCTACAAGATGGGTACACAGAAAGAAAGGACCAGGAGTACGAAGCCGGATCGTCGTAAAAGGCTATATACACGGAGAAGATCGAGGACGAAGACTCCGTCTACGCCTCTACACCAATGTTCACGACACTCCGGACACTTTGTCACGACCCAACTGGATCGCGCGACTAGGTGACGTCTCTACAGCATTTCTACACGCACCCATCGCAAAAGACCACGACGGTAAACAACGTGGCGTCTACCTTTGGCCACCTAACGAACTTTGTCCACAACAGGACAAAATCTGGCGACTAAAGAAAGCCATGTATGGACTACGCAGTTCACCAAAAGCATGGCAGGACTACCTGGCTGAAGTGTTACAAAAGCTCAGCTTTGTAAGACTAAAGTCAGAACCTAACGTCTACACTAATGCGACTCGCGACTGCTACATCATGGTCTACGTGGACGATCTACTGGTACTTGGAGACAAGACTGCGGTCGACTCCACTTTCGAGGCCGTCCAGACTCAAGCACATCGGCTACCTCGAACCTGGCAAACCACAACAATTTCTTGGAAGCAACATCGACCACTTCGGCAACTACTGCAACCTTGGACTAAAGGGCTCCTACATCGACAACATGATTGAGGAGTCTGGAATGACCAACTGCAACACAGTGACCGCTCCAGGAATCGCCCACTACAAACCAACAATAGAAGATGAAGCACTTCTTGAGCACGAACTACACAAAAGGTACAGAAGGATTGTTGGCAAACTTCAATGGTTAGCATACACACGACCAGACATCGCACACTCTGCAAAAGAACTGGCACGAGACCTCACAGCACCTACAGTACAAATTCACCATAGAACCAACAACAACACTCAGAGAAAACACCAACAACATCCTGGATCTCGACGTTCATGTCGATGCCGACTGGGCAGGATGCCCTACTACCAGGAAATCAACTTCAGGTTTCAACATCATCTTTTTAGGAACAACAGTTGCATTTGGCAGCAGAACACAAGCTACAATAGCACTCAGCTCAGCAGAGTCTCAACTCTACGCCATCTGCACAGGAGTTAATGAGGGACTACACCTCAGAAACTTCCTACTTGAAACCAACATTTGCAGCAAGCTAAACCTACGCATCCACACAGACTCCACAACAGGCAAGAGCATTGCTACACGACAAGACACTAGCGAACGAGCAAAGCACATCGACCTCAAATTTCTCTACACACAAGACCTCATCAAACACGACATCATCAGAATCCTTAAGATCAACACACTTCACAACAGCGCAGATTTGATTGCCAAATACATCAGCAAAGAAACACTACACAGGCTCATCCAGAGCATTGGGATACGCATTTAGCGCTACGAACGACCAGCGCAACAGTTTCACAACAACAACAACGACTTTGGACATTTCTTGTATGTAAGTAGCTACATGTAACACGACACCTTTGGTATGTAAGTAACAGTAACTACATGTATTTTCACTTGCAGTTTTGGCGGCTGAGTCAACACTACAGTTTTTTGTTTTACATGTCTGCATGCGCCGCCTGCCTGATAGCTACTACTCAGGCTCATTTTGTTTTGCCCCGTTTCACTACATTTTGCATTCCACTGCAGCCATGGCCGCTCCATCTACTGCAGATGCTACGATGGGAGATGCGACTACGCCTGACAGGGCGACTACACCTGAGGCGGCGGTCACTACAGACTCCAGTCCCCTCAGACCTACAACGAGTCCAACTACCGCTTCAATCACTCCACGCCTGGCAACACGGCTTACTACAACCCGGCAACTGTCATGGATCAACTACACATCACGGAGTACCAGACAACCACTACTCCACCACTGCCTGACAACACACCCTACACTCAGTTTTTCACTGCGCAGTGAAAAACTGAGTGTAGGGTGTGTTGTCAGGCAGTGGTGGAGTAGTGGTTGTCTGGTACTCCGTGATGTGTAGTTGATCCATGACAGTTGCCGGGTTGTAGTAAGCCGTGTTGCCAGGCAAGCCTACCGCGCCCAGAACTGGGCACTACATGCTTGAGCTCCTGCTCTACTACAATGAGTAACTGCCTCACGAATTCCATCCAGCGCCACTACATCGAGCTGGAACATGAACAGAGTGAACTAATGAGCGCAGGTTACTACCTCCACTACAGTAGAACTGATGAACAACAATGGTTTTCATCACTACTGTCAATCCATGTTTTGCGCTTCAGTTGAAAAGGTACTACAAAGACCTTTTAACTGAGGGGCCGTGTCAAACTACATGCTTCACTTCCTGCATTTGTGTTGCATGTACTGCAGGCCTTGAGCTCACTACATCGCATGAGTCAAAAGGTTGGCAGCTGCAGACTACATTGGTTGACTGTTTGTTTGAACACTACAGCGCTTGCACTTGTAAGTAAAG